AGAATTGATACGAGTCACTCAGGCTGCCGAGAAGTGTGATCACCAGATCGTCCTCGCAGACTGGAGCCCCCACCGCTTCTAGCTGTTCCGCCAGCGTCTTGAGCTTGTTGATGTGTTCGAGCACATCGTCGCCTTCTTCCATCATTGTCGTGAAGAAGCGACGGCGCAAGAACAGCTTGTTGGCAAGACTCTTCTTCTCGAAGTGGTCTTCCAACCTTGACCATGCGTCGCATGCACCACTTGCCGACCGGACCAACGGTAGCTGAAAATCTTCCATGGCTAGACAGATCACTGCCATCGCCTTTCTTGACTTCCTCTTGTACGTCGCTTGGTCCAACTGAGTCTCGCACTGTTCCGCCTTGATCTCACCGCTGACTGATGAACTTTAGACTTCTTGGTCCGAGTGCAAAACGCAAAGTGAATATATATTTATAATAGGTACTTAGTTCGCAACTTTGAATACTACCTCTAAGCCTATTATTCGCAGTGACGTCATCCAGTGACGTCACCCACTGACGTCACCCACTGACGTCATGCAATGACGTCATCCAGTGACGTCATTTCCTGACTTCGCCCTTACTGGTACATACCGGTACCCACCGGTATAGCGAAGCTTGGTCTTCCACTTGCTTCAACACTTGACGCAGCTTGACGAGGTGTCTTCTTCACAGCCGCTGTCTTTTCAACACTCCCTCTCGACTCGTTAGCTGCGGCACCTTGGATCCCAAGTCGATCGCGAATGTTTTCAAATTGTACAGCGGCGATCGGCTTGGTCATCATGTCTGCCAGCATATCTTGAGTCGGGCAATACTCCAAAACGACTTCACCTGATTCCACCTTCTCACGCACAAAATGGTAGCGTATGTCGATGTGTTTTGTTCTCTTATGGAACTCCGGGTTCTTGGCGAGAGCGATTGATCCTTGGTTGTCTTCATACATCTTGATCGCTTCGTCGCTTGTCATCTCACCAAGTTCCCCCAAAAGCACTTTGAGCCATACTGCTTCTTTGGTTGCTTCGGAAAGCGCCATGTATTCTGCTTCTGTTGAAGATAGCGCGACCGTCCGTTGTTTCTGGCTTTTCCAGCTGATGCATCCTCCGCTCATCATGAACACATAGCCGCTTGTACTTCGTCTTGACTCAATGTCGCCGGCCCAGTCTGCGTCGGTGTACCCGCAGATACGGCTTCCTTCTTCACGTGTAAACTCAAGACCATGATTGGGCGTTGCTTGCAGGTATCTCAGCACACGCTTCAAAGCTTGCCAGTGAGTCGGGCATGGGTCGGACGAGAACTGGGATAATGATCCCACTGCAGCAGCTAGATCCGGACGTGTGGCGACCATGAGATACATGATGCCTCCGACAGCACTTCGATATGGCACGTTGCACATGGTGTCTTCGTGCTTGCATTCTTGTTCACACATGTTCTTGGTTAGCTTCAGGCCGGGATCTTGAGGCGTCTTCACTGGCTTGCTGTTATCCATTCCGAACTTGGTTAACACGGACTTGAGAAACTTGGTTTGTTGTACAGTCACCATTCCCGTCTTACGGTCGTTCTTGATCTCCATGCCGAGAAAGTAATCGAGCTCACCGAGATCCGTCATTTCGAAGCGTTTGCTCAGCGCCATCTTGGTTGACTTGAGGAGTTCGTTGTTGCTGCTGGCCAGGATGAGATCATCGACGTAGAGCACCACGAGAATCATGTCTTGGTCGTCTCGCTTGATGTAGATGCAGTGGTCCGATTCGCACTTCTTGAATCCCATCTTGATCATGAACCCATCGATTGTTTGGTTCCACATGCGAGGCGATTGCTTCAAGCCGTAGAGTGATCTCTTTAGCTTGCACACATAGTCCGGCTGTGTTGCATCCAGGTATCCGTCCGGCTGGTCCATGTAGATGTCTTCGTTGAGGGAGCCGTTAAGAAACGCTGTCTTGACGTCCATCTGATGTAGCATTAGGCCGTACTTAGCCGCCATACTGAGCACCACACGAATCGATGTGAACTTGGCCACCGGTGCGAAAGTTTCTTCATAGTCAACTCCGAATTTCTGTGAGAATCCTTTGGCCACAAGTCTTGCCTTGAAACGTTCAACTTCGCCATCTTGATTCTCCTTTACACGAAAAACCCATCGGCACCCGATGGCCTTGCGACCTTCGGAAGAGGCACGATTTCCCACGTGTCGTTTCTCTGAAGCGAGTCGAACTCCGAGTCACACGCTTCTTTCCACTTGCCGGAGTCGCTTGATTCCATCGCCGACTTGAATGTAGTCGGCGTTTCCCCCACTGAATCAACGATGTAGGCTGCTTCAAAATCCATTGCAGCCGCTGACACATGCTCAAGCGACGGACCTCTGTATGTTCTTCGCTTGGGACTTGAATGACGGTAGCTTTCTCAAGTGATTGAGTGCGCGTGTGTCTCTTGATGTTGCTCTTCGAAGACCTGGTGTCTTCGTTGTCATCGTCGCTCGAGTCCATGTCGTCGTCAGTTTTACCTTCTTCTTTTTTCTTCGTCCTCATCATGATCATCAAACTCAACGACACTTGACTCATCGTTGTAGTTGCGCGGACCTTCATCAAACTTGTCTTCCATGAATGTGGCATCGCGACTGATCTTGATCGCTCCTGTTGACACTTCCTCAAATCGATATGACTTCTGGTGTTCGGCGTATCCCAGGAAACGACAGAGTGATGACTTGAGTCGAACTTCGCGCGTTTGTCTTGAGGCACTTGAACATACGCGTGGCATCCAAACACTTTAAGGTTGGCCAGAATCGGTTTCTTCATCGTCCACACTTGATATGGAGACTTGTCTTGGTGAATGGCACGTGTTGGACAGCGGTTTCGAAGAAACATCGCCGTCATCACTGCTTCACCCCAGTAGCTCTTTCCCAGTCCAGCGTGTTCCATCATGCAACGCGCACACTCGACCAGCGTGCGATTCATTCTCTCAGCTACTCCGTTTAGCTGAGGAGTATATGGGGGTGTGAACCTTTGTTGTATTCCCTGTTCCGCGCAGAATCGTGCCAGCTTGTCGGACTTGTATTCACCCCCATTGTCGCTTTGAAGGTACTTCACGCGCTTTCCGGTTTGCGTTTCGGCCATCGCAGCGTATTCCATGAACTTCGCCGCAACTTCAGATTTGCTCTTGAGCAGATAGACGACACAGTATCTTGACTTGTCATCAATGAATGTCACGAAGTACCGTTTTCCACTGAAAGTTGCCATCGACATCGGTCCGCATACGTCGCTGTGAATCACTTCGAGGAGTTTGGAGGTGCGAGCTGTAGTGTTTGATTGGAAGCGCACTCGAGTCTGTTTTCCCAGAGCACAACCTTCACACACGTCCCACTTCTTCACCGAAGATATGTCGATGCCAATTCCACGTTCTTCGTCACGATGCAATTGAGTCCATCGTGACCTATGTGGCCAAGCCGAAGGTGCCAGAGGTACGACTTGGTGCCCCCTTGACATCCCGACGACTTGGCTGCATTTGCTTGTTCCGGCGCCACTGGAGTCATTTGCAGCTTGAACAGTCCTTTACCTTCACGGGCACCAATTTTCCACTTGGTCCCTTTCGCTTCTCCATAGCACCCATCCTTCGTGAACGTCACTGGGCCGACATCCTTGGTGAAGCGGCCGACCGAGAACAGGTTTCTGGATAACTTTGGGATGTGCCACACGTTTGTGAGCACACCTTTCTTCATCCCTTGGGGTGTCTTCATCGACATGACAATGTCCCCACTGCCGATTGCTTGGACGATTCCATCATCCGCGAGATGGACATCCACAGCGTCAAACCCCTTGTAGTTCCGCATGAACTTCTTGGAGCACGTCATGTGCTGCGTCGCCCCGGAGTCGACCAGCCAGATGTCGCTCGATTTCGCAGATGTCGTTTCACCGATCGAAAAGAGGTAGTCGCCCGAGTCTTCTTCTTGAGCGACGTTTGCACGTTGTGATCGATAGCGGTCGCCGCTGTCTTGAGCACGCTGTGGCCGGTGTCTCTCCGTGTTTTCTTGGATGCGCGAGGGGCACTCCGCCATCCAGTGACCAATCTTTCCGCAATTGTGGCACGGCCAGGACTTCTTCACTGGTCGCCCTTTGCGCTGATTGTCCCTTGTGATGAACGCTTGACCTTGCGAAGCTTCATCACCTTTACTTCCTTGCTCCTTCCGCTTCATTTCTTCATGAAGCAGTCGAGACGTCACGAGCTCCCAGCTAAGAGTGTCTGAGCGCGACTCCAAAGCTGTGATCAAGAATTGATACGAGTCACTCAGGCTGCCGAGGAGTGTGATCACCAGATCGTCCTCGCAGACTGGAGCCCCCACCGCTTCTAGCTGTTCCGCCAGCGTCTTGAGCTTGTTGATGTGTTCGAGCACATCGTCGCCTTCTTCCATCATTGTCGTGAAGAAGCGACGGCGCAAGAACAGCTTGTTGGCAAGACTCTTCTTCTCGAAGTGGTCTTCCAACCTTGACCATGCGTCGCATGCACCACTTGCCGACCGGACCAACGGTAGCTGGGAATCTTCCATGGCTAGACAGATCACTGCCATCGCCTTTCTTGACTTCCTCTTGTACGTCGCTTGGTCCAACTGAGTCTCGCACTGTTCCGCCTTGATCTCACCGCTGACGACCTCCCATAGGTCCCGTTCCTCCAGCACCATCTGCATCTTGAACTTCCAGGCGTGGAAGTTAGTTCCATCGAACTTGGAGATGCGGAGGGAGGAGGCGTCCATGGCAGCTAAGCTTGAATTGTTGGCGGTTTCAGAGTCTGACGAACTTGGGCTCATAACCTGATGAACTTTAGACTTCTTGGTCCGAGTGCAAAACGCAAAGTGAATATATATTTATAATAGGTACTTAGTTCGCAACTTTGAATACTACCTCTAAGCCTATTATTCGCAGTGACGTCATCCAGTGACGTCACCCACTGACGTCACCCACTGACGTCATGCAATGACGTCATCCAGTGACGTCATTTCCTGACTTCGCCCTTACTGGTACATACCGGTACCCACCGGTATAGCGAAGCTTGGTCTTCCACTTGCTTCAACACTTGACGCAGCTTGACGAGGTGTCTTCTTCACAGCCGCTGTCTTTTCAACACTTTGCGCTGATTGTCCCTTGTGATGAACGCTTGACCTTGCGAAGCTTCATCACCTTTACTTCCTTGCTCCTTCCGCTTCATTTCTTCATGAAGCAGTCGAGACGTCACGAGCTCCCAGCTAAGAGTGTCTGAGCGCGACTCCAAAGCTGTGATCAAGAATTGATACGAGTCACTCAGGCTGCCGAGAAGTGTGATCACCAGATCGTCCTCGCAGACTGGAGCCCCCACCGCTTCTAGCTGTTCCGCCAGCGTCTTGAGCTTGTTGATGTGTTCGAGCACATCGTCGCCTTCTTCCATCATTGTCGTGAAGAAGCGACGGCGCAAGAACAGCTTGTTGGCAAGACTCTTCTTCTCGAAGTGGTCTTCCAACCTTGACCATGCGTCGCATGCACCACTTGCCGACCGGACCAACGGTAGCTGGAAATCTTCCATGGCTAGACAGATCACTGCCATCGCCTTTCTTGACTTCCTCTTGTACGTCGCTTGGTCCAACTGAGTCTCGCACTGTTCCGCCTTGATCTCACCGCTGACGGGCCCGGCATTTTTTTTTTGGGTTTCAGATTAAAAGGGGAATTTCCTGATGAACTTTAGACTTCTTGGTCCGAGTGCAAAACGCAAAGTGAATATATATTTATAATAGGTACTTAGTTCGCAACTTTGAATACTACCTCTAAGCCTATTATTCGCAGTGACGTCATCCAGTGACGTCACCCACTGACGTCACCCACTGACGTCATGCAATGACGTCATCCAGTGACGTCATTTCCTGACTTCGCCCTTACTGGTACATACCGGTACCCACCGGTATAGCGAAGCTTGGTCTTCCACTTGCTTCAACACTTGACGCAGCTTGACGAGGTGTCTTCTTCACAGCCGCTGTCTTTTCAACACTCCCTCTCGACTCGTTAGCTGCGGCACCTTGGATCCCAAGTCGATCGCGAATGTTTTCAAATTGTACAGCGGCGATCGGCTTGGTCATCATGTCTGCCAGCATATCTTGAGTCGGGCAATACTCCAAAACGACTTCACCTGATTCCACCTTCTCACGCACAAAATGGTAGCGTATGTCGATGTGTTTTGTTCTCTTATGGAACTCCGGGTTCTTGGCGAGAGCGATTGATCCTTGGTTGTCTTCATACATCTTGATCGCTTCGTCGCTTGTCATCTCACCAAGTTCCCCCAAAAGCACTTTGAGCCATACTGCTTCTTTGGTTGCTTCGGAAAGCGCCATGTATTCTGCTTTTGTTGAAGATAGCGCGACCGTCCGTTGTTTCTGTCTTTTCCAGCTGATGCATCCTCCGCTCATCATGAACACATAGCCGCTTGTACTTCGTCTTGACTCAATGTCGCCGGCCCAGTCTGCGTCGGTGTACCCGCAGATACGGCTTCCTTCTTCACGTGTAAACTCAAGACCATGATTGGGCGTTGCTTGCAGGTATCTCAGCACACGCTTCAAAGCTTGCCAGTGAGTCGGGCATGGGTCGGACGAGAACTGGGATAATGATCCCACTGCAGCAGCTAGATCCGGACGTGTGGCGACCATGAGATACATGATGCCTCTTGTTTTTTTTTTTTTTTTTTTTTTGGTTTTGGGGGTTTGAGCCGAAGCACTTCGTTATGGTTGCACAGGTGTCTTCGTGCTTGCTGTTATCCATTCCGAACTTGGTTAACACGGACTTGAGAAACTTGGTTTGTTGTACAGTCACCATTCCCGTCTTACGGTCGTTCTTGATCTCCATGCCGAGAAAGTAATCGAGCTCACCGAGATCCGTCATTTCGAAGCGTTTTCTCAGCGCCATCTTGGTTGACTTGAGGAGTTCGTTGTTGCTGCTGGCCAGGATGAGATCATCGACGTAGAGCACCACGAGAATCATGTCTTGGTCGTCTCGCTTGATGTAGATGCAGTGGTCCGATTCGCACTTCTTGAATCCCATCTTGATCATGAACCCATCGATTGTTTGGTTCCACATGCGAGGCGATTGCTTCAAGCCGTAGAGTGATCTCTTTAGCTTGCACACATAGTCCGGCTGTGTTGCATCCAGGTATCCGTCCGGCTGGTCCATGTAGATGTCTTCGTTGAGGGAGCCGTTAAGAAACGCTGTCTTGACGTCCATCTGATGTAGCATTAGGCCGTACTTAGCCGCCATACTGAGCACCACACGAATCGATGTGAACTTGGCCACCGGTGCGAAAGTTTCTTCATAGTCAACTCCGAATTTCTGTGAGAATCCTTTGGCCACAAGTCTTGCCTTGAAACGTTCAACTTCGCCATCTTGATTCTCCTTTACACGAAAAACCCATCGGCACCCGATGGCCTTGCGACCTTTCGGAAGAGGCACGATTTCCCACGTGTCGTTTCTCTGAAGCGAATCGAACTCCGAGTCACACGCTTCTTTCCACTTGCCGGAGTCGCTTGATTCCATCGCCGACTTGAATGTAGTCGGCGTTTCCCCCACTGAATCAACGATGTAGGCTGCTTCAAAATCCATTGCAGCCGCTGACACATGCTCAAGCGACGGACCTCTGTATGTTCTTCGCTTGGGACTTGGAATGACGGTAGCTTTCTCAAGTGATTGAGTGCGCGTGTGTCTCTTGATGTTGCTCTTCGAAGACCTGGTGTCTTCGTTGTCATCGTCGCTCGAGTCCATGTCGTCGTCAGTTTTACCTTCTTCTTTTTCTTCGTCCTCATCATGATCATCAAACTCAACGACACTTGACTCATCGTTGTAGTTGCGCGGACCTTCATCAAACTTGTCTTCCATGAATGTGGCATCGCGACTGATCTTGATCGCTCCTGTTGACACTTCCTCAAATCGATATGACTTCTGGTGTTCGGCGTATCCCAGGAAACGACAGAGTGATGACTTGGAGTCGAACTTCGCGCGTTTGTCTTGAGGCACTTGAACATACGCGTGGCATCCAAACACTTTAAGGTTGGCCAGAATCGGTTTCTTCATCGTCCACACTTGATATGGAGACTTGTCTTGGTGAATGGCACGTGTTGGACAGCGGTTTCGAAGAAACATCGCCGTCATCACTGCTTCACCCCAGTAGCTCTTTCCCAGTCCAGCGTGTTCCATCATGCAACGCGCACACTCGACCAGCGTGCGATTCATTCTCTCAGCTACTCCGTTTAGCTGAGGAGTATATGGGGGTGTGAACCTTTGTTGTATTCCCCGTTCCGCGCAGAATCGTGCCAGCTTGTCGGACTTGTATTCACCCCCATTGTCGCTTTGAAGGTACTTCACGCGCTTTCCGGTTTGCGTTTCGGCCATCGCAGCGTATTCCATGAACTTCGCCGCAACTTCAGATTTGCTCTTGAGCAGATAGACGACACAGTATCTTGACTTGTCATCAATGAATGTCACGAAGTACCGTTTTCCACTGAAAGTTGCCATCGACATCGGTCCGCATACGTCGCTGTGAATCACTTCGAGGAGTTTGGAGGTGCGAGCTGTAGTGTTTGATTGGAAGCGCACTCGAGTCTGTTTTCCCAGAGCACAACCTTCACACACGTCCCACTTCTTCACCGAAGATATGTCGATGCCAATTCCAATGTTCTTCGTCACGATGCAATTGAGTCCATCGTGACCTATGTGGCCAAGCCGAAGGTGCCAGAGGTACGACTTGGTGCCCCCTTGACATCCCGACGACTTGGCTGCATTTGCTTGTTCCGGCGCCACTGGAGTCATTTGCAGCTTGAACAGTCCTTTACCTTCACGGGCACCAATTTTCCACTTGGTCCCTTTCGCTTCTCCATAGCACCCATCCTTCGTGAACGTCACTGGGCCGACATCCTTGATGAAGCGGCCGACCGAGAACAGGTTTCTGGATAACTTTGGGATGTGCCACACCTTTGTGAGCACACCTTTCTTCATCCCTTGGGGTGTCTTCATCGACATGACAATGTCCCCACTGCCGATTGCTTGGACGATTCCATCATCCGCGAGATGGACATCCACAGCGTCAAACCCCTTGTAGTTCCGCATGAACTTCTTGGAGCACGTCATGTGCTGCGTCGCCCCGGAGTCGACCAGCCAGATGTCGCTCGATTTCGCAGATGTCGTTTCACCGATCGAAAAGAGGTAGTCGCCCGAGTCTTCTTCTTGAGCGACGTTTGCACGTTGTGATCGATAGCGGTCGCCGCTGTCTTGAGCACGCTGTGGCCGGTGTCTCTCCGTGTTTTCTTGGATGCGCGAGGGGCACTCCGCCATCCAGTGACCAATCTTTCCGCAATTGTGGCACGGCCAGGACTTCTTCACTGGTCGCCCTTTGCGCTGATTGTCCCTTGTGATGAACGCTTGACCTTGCGAAGCTTCATCACCTTTACTTCCTTGCTCCTTCCGCTTCATTTCTTCATGAAGCAGTCGAGACGTCACGAGCTCCCAGCTAAGAGTGTCTGAGCGCGACTCCAAAGCTGTGATCAAGAATTGATACGAGTCACTCAGGCTGCCGAGAAGTGTGATCACCAGATCGTCCTCGCAGACTGGAGCCCCCACCGCTTCTAGCTGTTCCGCCAGCGTCTTGAGCTTGTTGATGTGTTCGAGCACATCGTCGCCTTCTTCCATCATTGTCGTGAAGAAGCGACGGCGCAAGAACAGCTTGTTGGCAAGACTCTTCTTCTCGAAGTGGTCTTCCAACCTTGACCATGCGTCGCATGCACCACTTGCCGACCGGACCAACGGTAGCTGGGAATCTTCCATGGCTAGACAGATCACTGCCATCGCCTTTCTTGACTTCCTCTTGTACGTCGCTTGGTCCAACTGAGTCTCGCACTGTTCCGCCTTGATCTCACCGCTGACGACCTCCCATAGGTCCCGTTCCTCCAGCACCATCTGCATCTTGAACTTCCAGGCGTGGAAGTTAGTTCCATCGAACTTGGAGATGCGGAGGGAGGAGGCGTCCATGGCAGCTAAGCTTGAATTGTTGGCGGTTTCAGAGTCTGACGAACTTGGGCTCATAACCTGATGAACTTTAGACTTCTTGGTCCGAGTGCAAAACGCAAAGTGAATATATATTTATAATAGGTACTTAGTTCGCAACTTTGAATACTACCTCTAAGCCTATTATTCGCAGTGACGTCATCCAGTGACGTCACCCACTGACGTCACCCACTGACGTCATGCAATGACGTCATCCAGTGACGTCATTTCCTGACTTCGCCCTTACTGGTACATACCGGTACCCACCGGTATAGCGAAGCTTGGTCTTCCACTTGCTTCAACACTTGACGCAGCTTGACGAGGTGTCTTCTTCACAGCCGCTGTCTTTTCAACACTGACGACCTCCCATAGGTCCCGTTCCTCCAGCACCATCTGCATCTTGAACTTCCAGGCGTGGAAGTTAGTTCCATCGAACTTGGAGATGCGGAGGGAGGAGGCGTCCATGGCAGCTAAGCTTGAATTGTTGGCGGTTTCAGAGTCTGACGAACTTGGGCTCATAACCTGATGAACTTTAGACTTCTTGGTCCGAGTGCAAAACGCAAAGTGAATATATATTTATAATAGGTACTTAGTTCGCAACTTTGAATACTACCTCTAAGCCTATTATTCGCAGTGACGTCATCCAGTGACGTCACCCACTGACGTCACCCACTGACGTCATGCAATGACGTCATCCAGTGACGTCATTTCCTGACTTCGCCCTTACTGGTACATACCGGTACCCACCGGTATAGCGAGGCTTGGTCTTCCACTTGCTTCAACACTTGACGCAGCTTGACGAGGTGTCTTCTTTACAGCCGCTGTCTTTTCAACACTTCCGAAAGGTCGCAAGGCCATCGGGTGCCGATGGGTTTTTCGTGTAAAGGAGAATCAAGATGGCGAAGTTGAACGTTTCAAGGCAAGACTTGTGGCCAAAGGATTCTCACAGAAATTCGGAGTTGACTATGAAGAAACTTTCGCACCGGTGGCCAAGTTCACATCGATTCGTGTGGTGCTCAGTATGGCGGCTAAGTACGGCCTAATGCTACATCAGATGGACGTCAAGACAGCGTTTCTTAACGGCTCCCTCAACGAAGACATCTACATGGACCAGCCGGACGGATACCTGGATGCAACACAGCCGGACTATGTGTGCAAGCTAAAGAGATCACTCTACGGCTTGAAGCAATCGCCTCGCATGTGGAACCAAACAATCGATGGGTTCATGATCAAGATGGGATTCAAGAAGTGCGAATCGGACCACTGCATCTACATCAAGCGAGACGACCAAGACATGATTCTCGTGGTGCTCTACGTCGATGATCTCATCCTGGCCAGCAGCAACAACGAACTCCTCAAGTCAACCAAGATGGCGCTGAGAAAACGCTTCGAAATGACGGATCTCGGTGAGCTCGATTACTTTCTCGGCATGGAGATCAAGAACGACCGTAAGACGGGAATGGTGACTGTACAACAAACCAAGTTTCTCAAGTCCGTGTTAACCAAGTTCGGAATGGATAACAGCAAGCCCAACACGAAGACACCATGTGCAACGTGCCATATCGAAGTGCTGTCGGAGGCATCATGTATCTCATGGTCGCCACACGTCCGGATCTAGCTGCTGCAGTGGGATCATTATCCCAGTTCTCGTCCGACCCATGCCCGACTCACTGGCAAGCTTTGAAGCGTGTGCTGAGATACCTGCAAGCAACGCCCAATCATGGTCTTGAGTTTACACGTGAAGAAGGAAGCCGTATCTGCGGGTACACCGACGCAGACTGGGCCGGCGACATTGAGTCAAGACGAAGTACAAGCGGCTATGTGTTCATGATGAGCGGAGGATGCATCAGCTGGAAAAGACAGAAACAACGGACGGTCGCGCTATCTTCAACAAAAGCAGAATACATGGCGCTTTCCGAAGCAACCAAAGAAGCAGTATGGCTCAAAGTGCTTTTGGGGGAACTTGGTGAGATGACAAGCGACGAAGCGATCAAGATGTATGAAGACAACCAAGGATCAATCGCTCTCGCCAAGAACCCGGAGTTCCATAAGAGAACAAAACACATCGACATACGCTACCATTTTGTGCGTGAGAAGGTGGAATCAGGTGAAGTCGTTTTGGAGTATTGCCCGACTCAAGATATGCTGGCAGACATGATGACCAAGCCGATCGCCGCTGTACAATTTGAAAACATTCGCGATCGACTTGGGATCCAAGGTGCCGCAGCTAACGAGTCGAGAGGGAGTGTTGAAAAGACAGCGGCTGTGAAGAAGACACCTCGTCAAGCTGCGTCAAGTGTTGAAGCAAGTGGAAGACCAAGCTTCGCTATACCGGTGGGTACCGGTATGTACCAGTAAGGGCGAAGTCAGGAAATGACGTCACTGGATGACGTCATTGCATGACGTCAGTGGGTGACGTCAGTGGGTGACGTCACTGGATGACGTCACTGCGAATAATAGGCTTAGAGGTAGTATTCAAAGTTGCGAACTAAGTACCTATTATAAATATATATTCACTTTGCGTTTTGCACTCGGACCAAGAAGTCTAAAGTTCATCAGAACGACCGTAAGACGGGAATGGTGACTGTACAACAAACCAAGTTTCTCAAGTCCGTGTTAACCAAGTTCGGAATGGATAACAGCAAGCCAGTGAAGACGCCTCAAGATCCCGGCCTGAAGTGATGAACTTTAGACTTCTTGGTCCGAGTGCAAAACGCAAAGTGAATATATATTTATAATAGGTACTTAGTTCGCAACTTTGAATACTACCTCTAAGCCTATTATTCGCAGTGACGTCATCCAGTGACGTCACCCACTGACGTCACCCACTGACGTCATGCAATGACGTCATCCAGTGACGTCATTTCCTGACTTCGCCCTTACTGGTACATACCGGTACCCACCGGTATAGCGAAGCTTGGTCTTCCACTTGCTTCAACACTTGACGCAGCTTGACGAGGTGTCTTCTTCACAGCCGCTGTCTTTTCAACACTCCCTCTCGACTCGTTAGCTGCGGCACCTTGGATCCCAAGTCGATCGCGAATGTTTTCAAATTGTACAGCAGCGATCGGCTTGGTCATCATGTCTGCCAGCATATCTTGAGTCGGGCAATACTCCAAAACGACTTCACCTGATTCCACCTTCTCACGCACAAAATGGTAGCGTATGTCGATGTGTTTTGTTCTCTTATGGAACTCCGGGTTCTTGGCGAGAGCGATTGATCCTTGGTTGTCTTCATACATCTTGATCGCTTCGTCGCTTGTCATCTCACCAAGTTCCCCCAAAAGCACTTTGAGCCATACTGCTTCTTTGGTTGCTTCGGAAAGCGCCATGTATTCTGCTTCTGTTGAAGATAGCGCGACCGTCCGTTGTTTCTGGCTTTTCCAGCTGATGCATCCTCCGCTCATCATGAACACATAGCCGCTTGTACTTCGTCTTGACTCAATGTCGCCGGCCCAGTCTGCGTCGGTGTACCCGCAGATACGGCTTCCTTCTTCACGTGTAAACTCAAGACCATGATTGGGCGTTGCTTGCAGGTATCTCAGCACACGCTTCAAAGCTTGCCAGTGAGTCGGGCATGGGTCGGACGAGAACTGGGATAATGATCCCACTGCAGCAGCTAGATCCGGACGTGTGGCGACCATGAGATACATGATGCCTCCGACAGCACTTCGATATGGCACGTTGCACATGGTGTCTTCGTGCTTGCATTCTTGTTCACACATGTTCTTGGTTAGCTTCAGGCCGGGATCTTGAGGCGTCTTCACTGGCTTGCTGTTATCCATTCCGAACTTGGTTAACACGGACTTGAGAAACTTGGTTTGTTGTACAGTCACCATTCCCGTCTTACGGTCGTTCTTGATCTCCATGCCGAGAAAGTAATCGAGCTCACCGAGATCCGTCATTTCGAAGCGTTTGCTCAGCGCCATCTTGGTTGACTTGAGGAGTTCGTTGTTGCTGCTGGCCAGGATGAGATCATCGACGTAGAGCACCACGAGAATCATGTCTTGGTCGTCTCGCTTGATGTAGATGCAGTGGTCCGATTCGCACTTCTTGAATCCCATCTTGATCATGAACCCATCGATTGTTTGGTTCCACATGCGAGGCGATTGCTTCAAGCCGTAGAGTGATCTCTTTAGCTTGCACACATAGTCCGGCTGTGTTGCATCCAGGTATCCGTCCGGCTGGTCCATGTAGATGTCTTCGTTGAGGGAGCCGTTAAGAAACGCTGTCTTGACGTCCATCTGATGTAGCATTAGGCCGTACTTAGCCGCCATACTGAGCACCACACGAATCGATGTGAACTTGGCCACCGGTGCGAAAGTTTCTTCATAGTCAACTCCGAATTTCTGTGAGAATCCTTTGGCCACAAGTCTTGCCTTGAAACGTTCAACTTCGCCATCTTGATTCTCCTTTACACGAAAAACCCATCGGCACCCGATGGCCTTGCGACCTTTCGGAAGAGGCACGATTTCCCACGTGTCGTTTCTCTGAAGCGAATCGAACTCCGAGTCACACGCTTCTTTCCACTTGCCGGAGTCGCTTGATTCCATCGCCGACTTGAATGTAGTCGGCGTTTCCCCCACTGAATCAACGATGTAGGCTGCTTCAAAATCCATTGCAGCCGCTGACACATGCTCAAGCGACGGACCTCTGTATGTTCTTCGCTTGGGACTTGGAATGACGGTAGCTTTCTCAAGTGATTGAGTGCGCGTGTGTCTCTTGATGTTGCTCTTCGAAGACCTGGTGTCTTCGTTGTCATCGTCGCTCGAGTCCATGTCGTCGTCAGTTTTACCTTCTTCTTTTTCTTCGTCCTCATCATGATCATCAAACTCAACGACACTTGACTCATCGTTGTAGTTGCGCGGACCTTCATCAAACTTGTCTTCCATGAATGTGGCATCGCGACTGATCTTGATCGCTCCTGTTGACACTTCCTCAAATCGATATGACTTCTGGTGTTCGGCGTATCCCAGGAAACGACAGAGTGATGACTTGGAGTCGAACTTCGCGCGTTTGTCTTGAGGCACTTGAACATACGCGTGGCATCCAAACACTTTAAGGTTGGCCAGAATCGGTTTCTTCATCGTCCACACTTGATATGGAGACTTGTCTTGGTGAATGGCACGTGTTGGACAGCGGTTTCGAAGAAACATCGCCGTCATCACTGCTTCACCCCAGTAGCTCTTTCCCAGTCCAGCGTGTTCCATCATGCAACGCGCACACTCGACCAGCGTGCGATTCATTCTCTCAGCTACTCCGTTTAGCTGAGGAGTATATGGGGGTGTGAACCTTTGTTGTATTCCCCGTTCCGCGCAGAATCGTGCCAGCTTGTCGGACTTGTATTCACCCCCATTGTCGCTTTGAAGGTACTTCACGCGCTTTCCGGTTTGCGTTTCGGCCATCGCAGCGTATTCCATGAACTTCGCCGCAACTTCAGATTTGCTCTTGAGCAGATAGACGACACAGTATCTTGACTTGTCATCAATGAATGTCACGAAGTACCGTTTTCCACTGAAAGTTGCCATCGACATCGGTCCGCATACGTCGCTGTGAATCACTTCGAGGAGTTTGGAGGTGCGAGCTGTAGTGTTTGATTGGAAGCGCACTCGAGTCTGTTTTCCCAGAGCACAACCTTCACACACGTCCCACTTCTTCACCGAAGATATGTCGATGCCAATTCCAATGTTCTTCGTCACGATGCAATTGAGTCCATCGTGACCTATGTGGCCAAGCCGAAGGTGCCAGAGGTACGACTTGGTGCCCCCTTGACATCCCGACGACTTGGCTGCATTTGCTTGTTCCGGCGCCACTGGAGTCATTTGCAGCCTGAACAGTCCTTTACCTTCACGGGCACCAATTTTCCACTTGGTCCCTTTCGCTTCTCCATAGCACCCATCCTTCGTGAACGTCACTGGGCCGACATCCTTGGTGAAGCGGCCGACCGAGAACAGGTTTCTGGATAACTTTGGGATGTGCCACACGTTTGTGAGCACACCTTTCTTCATCCCTTGGGGTGTCTTCATCGACATGACAATGTCCCCACTGCCGATTGCTTGGACGATTCCATCATCCGCGAGATGGACATCCACAGCGTCAAACCCCTTGTAGTTCCGCATGAACTTCTTGGAGCACGTCATGTGCTGCGTCGCCCCGGAGTCGACCAGCCAGATGTCGCTCGATTTCGCAGATGTCGTTTCACCGATCGAAAAGAGGTAGTCGCCCGAGTCTTCTTCTTGAGCGACGTTTGCACGTTGTGATCGATAGCGGTCGCCGCTGTCTTGAGCACGCTGTGGCCGGTGTCTCTCCGTGTTTTCTTGGATGCGCGAGGGGCACTCCGCCATCCAGTGACCAATCTTTCCGCAATTGTGGCACGGCCAGGACTTCTTCACTGGTCGCCCTTTGCGCTGATTGTCCCTTGTGATGAACGCTTGACCTTGCGAAGCTTCATCACCTTTACTTCCTTGCTCCTTCCGCTTCATTTCTTCATGAAGCAGTCGAGACGTCACGAGCTCCCAGCTAAGAGTGTCTGAGCGCGACTCCAAAGCTGTGATCAAGAATTGATACGAGTCACTCAGGCTGCCGAGGAGTGTGATCACCAGATCGTCCTCGCAGACTGGAGCCCCCACCGCTTCTAGCTGTTCCGCCAGCGTCTTGAGCTTCTTGATGTGTTCGAGCACATCGTCGCCTTCTTCCATCATTGTCGTGAAGAAGCGACGGCGCAAGAACAGCTTGTTGGCAAGACTCTTCTTCTCGAAGTGGTCTTCCAACCTTGACCATGCGTCGCATGCACCACTTGCCGACCGGACCAACGGTAGCTGGGAATCTTCCATGGCTAGACAGATCACTGCCATCGCCTTTCTTGACTTCCTCTTGTACGTCGCTTGGTCCAACTGAGTCTCGCACTGTTCCGCCTTGATCTCACCGCTGACGACCTCCCATAGGTCCCGTTCCTCCAGCACCATCTGCATCTTGAACTTCCAGGCGTGGAAGTTAGTTCCATCGAACTTGGAGATGCGGAGGGAGGAGGCGTCCATGGCAGCTAAGCTTGAATTGTTGGCGGTTTCAGAGTCTGACGAACTTGGGCTCATAACCTGATGAACTTTAGACTTCTTGGTCCGAGTGCAAAACGCAAAGTGAATATATATTTATAATAGGTACTTAGTTCGCAACTTTGAATACTACCTCTAAGCCTATTATTCGCAGTGACGTCATCCAGTGACGTCACCCACTGACGTCACCCACTGACGTCATGCAATGACGTCATCCAGTGACGTCATTTCCTGACTTCGCCCTTACTGGTACATACCGGTACCCACCGGTATAGCGAAGCTTGGTCTTCCACTTGCTTCAACACTTGACGCAGCTTGACGAGGTGTCTTCTTCACAGCCGCTGTCTTTTCAACATGAAGCTAACCAAGAACATGTGTGAACAAGAATGCAAGCACGAAGACACCATGTGCAACGTGCCATATCGAAGTGCTGTCGGAGGCATCATGTATCTCATGGTCGCCACACGTCCGGATCTAGCTGCTGCAGTGGGATCATTATCCCAGTTCTCGTCCGACCCATGCCCGACTCACTGGCAAGCTTTGAAGCGTGTGCTGAGATACCTGCAAGCAACGCCCAAGCATGGTCTTGAGTTTACACGTGAAGAAGGAAGCCGTATCTGCGGGTACACCGACGCAGACTGGGCCGGCGACATTGAGTCAAGACGAAGTACAAGCGGCTATGTGTTCATGATGAGCGGAGGATGCATTAGCTGGAAAAGCCAGAAACAACGGACGGTCGCGCTATCTTCAACAGAAGCAGAATACATGGCGCTTTCCGAAGCAACCAAAGAAGCAGTATGGCTCAAAGTGCTTTTGGGGGAACTTGGTGAGATGACAAGCGACGAAGCGATCAAGATGTATGAAGACAACCAAGGATCAATCGCTCTCGCCAAGAACCCGGAGTTCCATAAGAGAACAAAACACATCGACATACGCTACCATTTTGTGCGTGAGAAGGTGGAATCAGGTGAAGTCGTTTTGGAGTATTGCCCGACTCAAGATATGCTGGCAGACATGATGACCAAGCCGATCGCCGCTGTACAATTTGAAAACATTCGCGATCGACTTGGGATCCAAGGTGCCGCAGCTAACTGTTGAAAAGACAGCGGCTGTGAAGAAGACACCTCGTCAAGCTGCGTCAAGTGTTGAAGCAAGTGGAAGACCAAGCTTCGCTATACCGGTGGGTACCGGTATGTACCAGTAAGGGCGAAGTCAGGAAATGACGTCACTGGATGACGTCACTGCGAATAATAGGCTTAGAGGTAGTATTCAAAGTTGCGAACTAAGTACCTATTATAAATATATATTCACTTTGCGTTTTGCACTCGGACCAAGAAGTCTAAAGTTCATCAGGTTATGAGCCCAAGTTCGTCAGACTCTGAAACCGCCAACAATTCAAGCTTAGCTGCCATGGACGCCTCCTCCCTCCGCATCTACAAGTTCGATGGAACTAACTTCCACGCCTGGAAGTTCAAGATGCAGATGGTGCTGGAGGAACGGGACCTATGGGAGGTCGTCAGCGGTGAGATCAAGGCGGAACAGTGCGAGACTCAGTTGGACCAAGCGACGTACAAGAGGAAGTCAAGAAAGGCGATGGCAGTGATCTGTCTAGCCATGGAAGATTCCCAGCTACCGTTGGTCCGGTCGGCAAGTGGTGCATGCGACGCATGGTCAAGGTTGGAAGACCACTTCGAGAAGAAGAGTCTTGCCAACAAGCTGTTCTTGCGCCGTCGCTTCTTCACGACAATGATGGAAGAAGGCGACGATGTGCTCGAACACATCAACAAGCTCAAGACGCTGGCGGAACAGCTAGAAGCGGTGGGGGCTCCAGTCTGCGAGGACGATCTGGTGATCACACTCCTCGGCAGCCTGAGTGACTCGTATCAATTCTTGATCACAGCTTTGGAGTCGCGCTCAGACACTCTTAGCTGGGAGCTCGTGACGTCTCGACTGCTTCATGAAGAAATGAAGCGGAAGGAGCAAGGAAGTAAAGGTGATGAAGCTTCGCAAGGTCAAGCGTTCATCACAAGGGACAATCAGCGCAAAGGGCGACCAGTGAAGAAGTCCTGGCCGTGCCACAATTGCGGAAAGATTGGTCACTGGATGGCGGAGTGCCCCTCGCGCATCCAAGAAAACACGGAGAGACACCGGCCACAGCGTGCTCAAGACAGCGGCGACCGCTATCGATCACAACGTGCAAACGTCGTGATGAACTTTAGACTTCTTGGTCCGAGTGCAAAACGCAAAGTGAATATATATTTATAATAGGTACTTAGTTCGCAACTTTGAATACTACCTCTAAGCCTATTATTCGCAGTGACGTCATCCAGTGACGTCACCCACTGACGTCACCCACTGACGTCACCCACTGACGTCATGCAATGACGTCACCCACTGACGTCACCCACTGACGTCATCCAATGACGTCATTTCCTGACTTCGCCCTTACTGGTACATACCGGTACCCACCGGTATAGCGAAGCTTGGTCTTCCACTTGCTTCAACACTTGACGCAGCTTGACGAGGTGTCTTCTTCACAGCCGCTGTCTTTTCAACACTCCCTCTCGACTCGTTAGCTGCGGCACCTTGGATCCCAAGTCGATCGCGAATGTTTTCAAATTGTACAGCGGCGATCGGCTTGGTCATCATGTCTGCCAGCATATCTTGAGTCGGGCAATACTCCAAAACGACTTCACCTGATTCCACCTTCTCACGCACAAAATGGTAGCGTATGTCGATGTGTTTTGTTCTTTTACGGAACTCCGGGTTCTTGGCGAGAGAGATTGATCCTTGGTTGTCTTCATACATCTTGATCGCTTCGTCGCTTGTCATCTCATTAAGTTCCCCCAAAAGCACCTTGAGCCATACTGCTTCTTTGGTTGCTTCGGAAAGCGCCATGTATTCTGCTTCTGTTGAAGATAGCGCGACCGTCCGTTGTTTCTGTCTTTTCCAGCTGATGCATCCTCCGCTCATCATGAACACATAGCCGCTTGTACTTCGTCTTGACTCAATGTCGCCGGCCCAGTCTGCGTCGGTGTACCCGCAGATACGGCTTCCTTCTTCACGTGTAAACTCAAGACCATGATTGGGCGTTGCTTGCAGGTATCTCAGCACACGCTTCAAAGCTTGCCAGTGAGTCGGGCATGGGTCGGACGAGAACTGGGATAATGATCCCACTGCAGCAGCTAGATCCGGACGTGTGGCGACCATGAGATACATGATGCCTCCGACAGCACTTCGATATGGCACGTTGCACATGGTGTCTTCATGATTGCATCCTTATTCACACATGTTCTTGACCAGCTTGAGTCCAGGATCTTGGGGTGTCTTCACAGGCTTGCTGTCATGCATATCAAACTTGATCAAAATCGACTTGAGAAACTTGGTTTGTTGCACAGTCACCATTCCCGTCTTACGGTCGTTCTTGATCTCCATGCCGAGAAAGTAATCGAGCTCACCGATATCCGTCATTTCGAAGCGTTTGCTCAGCGCCATCTTGGTCGACTTGAAGAGTTCGTTGTTGCTGCTGGCCAGGATGAGATCATCGACGTAGAGCACCACGAGAATCATGTCTTGGTCGTCTCGCTTGATGTAGATGCAGTGGTCCGATTCGCACTTCTTGAATCCCATCTTGATCATGAACCCATCGATTGTTTGGTTCCACATGCGAGGCGATTGCTTCAAGCCGTAGAGTGATCTCTTTAGCTTGCACACATAGTCCGGCTGTGCTGCATCCAGGTATCCGTCCGGCTGGTCCATGTAGATGTCTTCGTTGAGGGAGCCGTTAAGAAACGCTGTCTTGACGTCCATCTGATGTAGCATTAGGCCGTACTTGGCCGCCATACTGAGCACCACACGAATCGATGTGAACTTGGCCACCGGTGCGAAAGTTTCTTCATAGTCAACTCCGAATTTCTGTGAGAATCCTTTGGCCACAAGTCTTGCCTTGAAACGTTCAACTTCGCCATCTTGATTCTCCTTTACACGAAAAACCCATCGGCACCCGATGGCCTTGCGACCTTTCGGAAGAGGCACGATTTCCCACGTGTCGTTTCTCTGAAGCGAGTCAAACTCCGAGTCACACGCTTCTTTCCACTTGCCGGAGTCGCTTGATTCCATCGCCGACTTGAATGTAGTCGGCGTTTCCCCACTGAATCAACGATGTAGGCTGCTTCAAAATCCATTGCAGCCGCTGACACATGCTCAAGCGACGGACCTCTGTACGTTCTTTGCTTGGGACTTGGAATGACGGTAGCTTTCTCAATTGATTGAGTGCGCGTGTGTCTCTTGATGTTGCTCTTCGAAGACCTGGTGTCTTCGTTGTCATCGTCGCTCGAGTCCATGTCGTCGTCAGTTTTACCTTCTTCTTTTTCTTCGTCCCCGTCTTGATCATCAAACTCAACGGCACTTGACTCATCGTTGTAGTTGCGCGGACTGATGAACTTTAGACTTCTTGGTCCGAGTGCAAAACGCAAAGTAAATATATATTTATAATAGGTACTTAGTTCGCAACTTTGAATACTACCTCTAAGCCTATTATTCGCAGTGACGTCATCCAGTGACGTCACCCACTGACGTCACCCACTGACGTCATCCAGTGACGTCATTTCCTGACTTCGCCCTTACTGGTACATACCGGTACCCACCGGTATAGCGAAGCTTGGTCTTCCACTTGCTTCAACACTTGACGCAGCTTGACGAGGTGTCTTCTTCACAGCCGCTGTCTTTTCAACACTCCCTCTCGACTCGTTAGCTGCGGTACCTTGGATCCCAAGTCGATCGCGAATGTTTTCAAATTGTACAGCGGCGATCGGCTTGGTCATCATGTCTGCCAGCATATCTTGAGTCGGGCAATACTCCAAAACGACTTCACCTGATTCCACCTTCTCACGCACAAAATGGTAGCGTATGTCGATGTGTTTTGTTCTCTTATGGAACTCCGGGTTCTTGGCGAGAGCGATTGATCCTTGGTTGTCTTCATACATCTTGATCGCTTCGTCGCTTGTCATCTCACCAAGTTCCCCCAAAAGCACCTTGAGCCATACTGCTTCTTTGGTTGCTTCGGAAAGCGCCATGTATTCTGCTTCTGTTGAAGATAGCGCGACCGTCCGTTGTTTCTGGCTTTTCCAGCTGATGCATCCTCCGCTCATCATGAACACATAGCCGCTTGTACTTCGTCTTGACTCAATGTCGCCGGCCCAGTCTGCGTCGGTGTACCCGCAGATACGGCTTCCTTCTTGACGTGTAAACTCAAGACCATGCTTGGGCGTTGCTTGCAGGTATCTCAGCACACGCTTCAAAGCTTGCCAGTGAGTCGGGCATGGGTCGGACGAGAACTGGGATAATGATCCCACTGCAGCAGCTAGATCCGGACGTGTGGCGACCATGAGATACATGATGCCTCCGACAGCACTTCGATATGGCACGTTGCACATGGTGTCTTCGTGCTTGCATTCTTGTTCACACATGTTCTTGGTTAGCTTCAGGCCGGGATCTTGAGGCGTCTTCACTGGCTTGCTGTTATCCATTCCGAACTTGGTTAACACGGACTTGAGAAACTTGGTTTGTTGTACGGTCACCATTCCCGTCTTACGGTCGTTCTTGATCTCCATGCCGAGAAAGTAATCGAGCTCACCGAGATCCGTCATTTCGAAGCGTTTGCTCAGCGCCATCTTGGTCGACTTGAGGAGTTCGTTGTTGCTGCTGGCCAGGATGAGATCATCGACGTAGAGCACCACGAGAATCATGTCTTGGTCGTCTCGCTTGATGTAGATGCAGTGGTCCGATTCGCACTTCTTGAATCCCATCTTGATCATGAACCCATCGATTGTTTGGTTCCACATGCGAGGCGATTGCTTCAAGCCGTAGAGTGATCTCTTTAGCTTGCACACATAGTCCGGCTGTGTTGCATCCAGGTATCCGTCCGGCTGGTCCATGTAGATGTCTTCGTTGAGGGAGCCGTTAAGAAACGCTGTCTTGACGTCCATCTGATGTAGCATTAGGCCGTACTTGGCCGCCATACTGAGCACCACACGAATCGATGTGAACTTGGCCACCGGTGCGAAAGTTTCTTCATAGTCAACTCCGAATTTCTGTGAGAATCCTTTGGCCACAAGTCTTGCCTTGAAACGTTCAACTTCGCCATCTTGATTCTCCTTTACACGAAAAACCCATCGGCACCCGATGGCCTTGCGACCTTTCGGAAGAGGCACGATTTCCCACGTGTCGTTTCTCTGAAGCGAATCGAACTCCGAGTCACACGCTTCTTTCCACTTGCCGGAGTCGCTTGATTCCATCGCCGACTTGAATGTAGTCGGCGTTTCCCCCACTGAATCAACGATGTAGGCTGCTTCAAAATCCATTGCAGCCGCTGACACATGCTCAAGCGACGGACCTCTGTATGTTCTTCGCTTGGGACTTGGAATGATGGTAGCTTTCTCAAGTGATTGAGTGCGCGTGTGTCTCTTGATGTTGCTCTTCGAAGACCTGGTGTCTTCGTTGTCATCGTCGCTCGAGTCCATGTCGTCGTCAGTTTTACCTTCTTCTTTTTCTTCGTCCTCATCATGATCATCAAACTCAACGACACTTGACTCATCGTTGTAGTTGCGCGGACCTTCATCAAACTTGTCTTCCATGAATGTGGCATCGCGACTGATCTTGATCGCTCCTGTTGACACTTCCTCAAATCGATATGACTTCTGGTGTTCGGCGTATCCCAGGAAACGACAGAGTGATGACTTGGAGTCGAACTTCGCGCGTTTGTCTTGAGGCACTTGAACATACGCGTGGCATCCAAACACTTTAAGGTTGGCCAGAATCGGTTTCTTCATCGTCCACACTTGATATGGAGACTTGTCTTGGTGAATGGCACGTGTTGGACAGCGGTTTCGAAGAAACATCGCCGTCATCACTGCTTCACCCCAGTAGCTCTTTCCCAGTCCAGCGTGTTCCATCATGCAACGCGCACACTCGACCAGCGTGCGATTCATTCTCTCAGCTACTCCGTTTAGCTGAGGAGTATATGGGGGTGTGAACCTTTGTTGTATTCCCCGTTCCGCGCAGAATCGTGCCAGCTTGTCGGACTTGTATTCACCCCCATTGTCGCTTTGAAGGTACTTCACGCGCTTTCCGGTTTGCGTTTCGGCCATCGCAGCGTATTCCATGAACTTCGCCGCAACTTCAGATTTGCTCTTGAGCAGATAGACGACACAGTATCTTGACTTGTCATCAATGAATGTCACGAAGTACCGTTTTCCACTGAAAGTTGCCATCGACATCGGTCCGCATACGTCGCTGTGAATCACTTCGAGGAGTTTGGAGGTGCGAGCTGTAGTGTTTGATTGGAAGCGCACTCGAGTCTGTTTTCCCAGAGCACAACCTTCACACACGTCCCACTTCTTCACCGAAGATATGTCGATGCCAATTCAATGTTCTTCGTCACGATGCAATTGAGTCCATCGTGACCTATGTGGCCCAAGCCGAAGGTGCCAGAGGTACGACTTGGTGCCCCCTTGACATCCCGACGACTTGGCTGCATTTGCTTGTTCCGGCGCCACTGGAGTCATTTGCAGCTTGAACAGTCCTTTACCTTCACGGGCACCAATTTTCCACTTGGTCCCTTTCGCTTCTCCATAGCACCCATCCTTCGTGAACGTCACTGGGCCGACATCCTTGGTGAAGCGGCCGACCGAGAACAGGTTTCTGGATAACTTTGGGATGTGCCACACGTTTGTGAGCACACCTTTCTTCATCCCTTGGGGTGTCTTCATCGACATGACAATGTCCCCACTGCCGATTGCTTGGACGATTCCATCATCCGCGAGATGGACATCCACAGCGTCAAACCCCTTGTAGTTCCGCATGAACTTCTTGGAGCACGTCATGTGCTGCGTCGCCCCGGAGTCGACCAGCCAGATGTCGCTCGATTTCGCAGATGTCGTTTCACCGATCGAAAGAGGTAGTCGCCCGAGTCTTCTTCTTGAGCGACGTTTGCACGTTGTGATCGATAGCGGTCGCCGCTGTCTTGAGCACGCTGTGGCCGGTGTCTCTCCGTGTTTTCTTGGATGCGCGAGGGCACTCCGCCATCCAGTGACCAATCTTTCCGCAATTGTGGCACGGCCAGGACTTCTTCACTGGTCGCCCTTTGCGCTGATTGTCCCTTGTGATGAACGCTTGACCTTGCGAAGCTTCATCACCTTTACTTCCTTGCTCCTTCCGCTTCATTTCTTCATGAAGCAGTCGAGACGTCACGAGCTCCCAGCTAAGAGTGTCTGAGCGCGACTCCAAAGCTGTGATCAAGAATTGATACGAGTCACTCAGGCTGCCGAGGAGTGTGATCACCAGATCGTCCTCGCAGACTGGAGCCCCCACCGCTTCTAGCTGTTCCGCCAGCGTCTTGAGCTTGTTGATGTGTTCGAGCACATCGTCGCCTTCTTCCATCATTGTCGTGAAGAAGCGACGGCGCAAGAACAGCTTGTTGGCAAGACTCTTCTTCTCGAAGTGGTCTTCCAACCTTGACCATGCGTCGCATGCACCACTTGCCGACCGGACCAACGGTAGCTGGGAATCTTCCATGGCTAGACAGATCACTGCCATCGCCTTTCTTGACTTCCTCTTGTACGTCGCTTGGTCCAACTGAGTCTCGCACTGTTCCGCCTTGATCTCACCGCTGACGACCTCCCATAGGTCCCGTTCCTCCAGCACCATCTGCATCTTGAACTTCCAGGCGTGGAAGTTAGTTCCATCGAACTTGGAGATGCGGAGGGAGGAGGCGTCCATGGCAGCTAAGCTTGAATTGTTGGCGGTTTCAGAGTCTGACGAACTTGGGCTCATAACCTGATGAACTTTAGACTTCTTGGTCCGAGTGCAAAACGCAAAGTAAATATATATTTATAATAGGTACTTAGTTCGCAACTTTGAATACTACCTCTAAGCCTATTATTCGCAGTGACGTCATCCAGTGACGTCACCCACTGACGTCACCCACTGACGTCATGCAATGACGTCATCCAGTGACGTCATTTCCTGACTTCGCCCTTACTGGTACATACCGGTACCCACCGGTATAGCGAAGCCTGGTCTTCCACTTGCTTCAACACTTGACGCAGCTTGACGAGGTGTCTTCTTCACAGCCGCTGTCTTTTCAACACGGACCTTCATCAAACTTGTCTTCCATGAATGTGGCATCGCGACTGATCTTGATCGCTCCTGTTGACACTTCCTCAAATCGATATGACTTCTGGTGTTCGGCGTATCCCAGGAAACGACAGAGTGATGACTTGGAGTCGAACTTCGCGCGTTTGTCTTGAGGCACTTGAACATACGCGTGGCATCCAAACACTTTAAGGTTGGCCAGAATCGGTTTCTTTATCGTCCACACTTGATATGGAGACTTGTCTTGGTGAATGGCACGTGTTGGACAGCGGTTTCGAAGAAACATCGCCGTCATCACTGCTTCACCCCAGTAGCTCTTTCCCAGTCCAGCGTGTTCCATCATGCAACGCGCACACTCGACCAGCGTGCGATTCATTCTCTCAGCTACTCCGTTTAGCTGAGGAGTATATGGGGGTGTGAACCTTTGTTGTATTCCCCGTTCCGCGCAGAATCGTGCCAGCTTGTCGGACTTGTATTCACCCCCATTGTCGCTTTGAAGGTACTTCACGCGCTTTCCGGTTTGCGTTTCGGCCATCGCAGCGTATTCCATGAACTTCGCCGCAACTTCAGATTTGCTCTTGAGCAGATAGACGACACAGTATCTTGACTTGTCATCGATGAATGTCACGAAGTACCGTTTTCCACTGAAAGTTGCCATCGACATCGGTCCGCATACGTCGCTGTGAATCACTTCGAGGAGTTTGGAGGTGCGAGCTGTAGTGTTTGATTGGAAGCGCGCTCGAGTCTGTTTTCCCAGAGCACAACCTTCACACACGTCCCACTTCTTCACCGAAGATATGTCGATGCCAATTCCAATGTTCTTCGTCACGATGCAATTGAGTCCATCGTGACCTATGTGGCCAAGCCGAAGGTGCCAGAGGTACGACTTGGTGCCCCCTTGACATCCCGACGACTTGGCTGCATTTGCTTGTTCCGGCGCCACTGGAGTCATTTGCAGCTTGAACAGTCCTTTACCTTCACGGGCACCAATTTTCCACTTGGTCCCTTTCGCTTCTCCATAGCACCCTTCCTTCGTGAACGTCACTGGGCCGACATCCTTGGTGAAGCGGCCGACCGAGAACAGGTTTCTGGATAACTTTGGGATGTGCCACACGTTTGTGAGCACACCTTTCTTCATCCCTTGGGGTGTCTTCATCGACATGACAATGTCCCCACTGCCGATTGCTTGGACGATTCCATCATCCGCGAGATGGACATCCACAGCGTCAAACCCCTTGTAGTTCCGCATGAACTTCTTGGAGCACGTCATGTGCTGCGTCGCCCCGGAGTCGACCAGCCAGATGTCGCTCGATTTCGCAGATGTCGTTTCACCGATCGAAAAGAGGTAGTCGCCCGAGTCTTCTTCTTGAGCGACGTTTGCACGTTGTGATCGATAGCGGTCGCCGCTGTCTTGAGCACGCTGTGGCCGGTGTCTCTCCGTGTTTTCTTGGATGCGCGAGGGGCACTCCGCCATCCAGTGACCAATCTTTCCGCAATTGTGGCACAGCCAGGACTTCTTCACTGGTCGCCCTTTGCGCTGATTGTCCCTTGTGATGAACGCTTGACCTTGCGAAGCTTCATCACCTTTACTTCCTTGCTCCTTCCGCTTCATTTCTTCATGAAGCAGTCGAGACGTCACGAGCTCCCAGCTAAGAGTGTCTGAGCGCGACTCCAAAGCTGTGATCAAGAATTGATACGAGTCACTCAGGCTGCCGAGAAGTGTGATCACCAGATCGTCCTCGCATACTGGAGCCCCCACTGCTTCTAGCTGTTCCGCCAGCGTCTTGAGCTTGTTGATTTGTTCGAGCACATCGTCGCCTTCTTCCATCATTGTCGTGAAGAAGCGACGGCGCAAGAACAGCTTGTTGGCAAGACTCTTCTTCTCGAAGTGGTCTTCCAACCTTGACCATGCGTCGCATGCACCACTTGCCGACCGGACCAACGGTAGCTGGGAATCTTCCATGGCTAGACAGATCACTGCCATCGCCTTTCTTGACTTCCGCTTGTACGTCGCTTGGTCCAACTGAGTCTCGCACTGTTCCACCTTGATCTCACCGCTGACGACCTCCCATAGGTCCCGTTCCTCCAGCACCATCTGCATCTTGAACTTCCAGGCGTGGAAGTTAGTTCCATCGAACTTGGAGATACGGAGGGAGGAGGCGTCCATGGCAGCTAAGCTTGAATTGTTGGCGGTTTCAGAGTCTGACGAACTTGGGCTCATAACCTGATGAACTTTAGACTTCTTGGTCCGAGTGCAAAACGCAAAGTGAATATATATTTATAATAGGTACTTAGTTCGCAACTTTGAATACTACCTCTAAGCCTATTATTCGCAGTGACGTCATCCAGTGACGTCACCCACTGACGTCACCCACTGACGTCACCCACTGACGTCATGCAATGACGTCATCCAGTGACGTCACCCACTGACGTCATGCAATGACGTCATTTCCTGACTTCGCCCTTACTGGTACATACCGGTACCCACCGGTATAGCGAAGCTTGGTCTTCCACTTGCTTCAACACTTGACGCAGCTTGACGAGGTGTCTTCTTCACAGCCGCTGTCTTTTCAACACGTCGCTCAAGAAGAAGACTCGGGCGACTACCTCTTTTCGATCGGTGAAACGACATCTGCGAAATCGAGCGACATCTGGCTGGTCGACTCCGGGGCGACGCAGCACATGACGTGCTCCAAGAAGTTCATGCGGAACTACAAGGGGTTTGACGCTGTGGATGTCCATCTCGCGGATGATGGAATCGTCCAAGCAATCGGCAGTGGGGACATTGTCATGTCGATGAAGACACCCCAAGGGATGAAGAAAGGTGTGCTCACAAACGTGTGGCACATCCCAAAGTTATCCAGAAACCTGTTCTCGGTCGGCCGCTTCATCAAGGATGTCGGCCCAGTGACGTTCACGAAGGATGGGTGCTATGGAGAAGCGAAAGGGACCAAGTGGAAAATTGGTGCCCGTGAAGGTAAAGGACTGTTCAAGCTGCAAATGACTCCAGTGGCGCCGGAACAAGCAAATGCAGCCAAGTCGTCGGGATGTCAAGGGGGCACCAAGTCGTACCTCTGGCACCTTCGGCTTGGCCACATAGGTCACGATGGACTCAATTGCATCGTGACGAAGAACATTGGAATTGGCATCGACATATCTTCGGTGAAGAAGTGGGACGTGTGTGAAGGTTGTGCTCTGGGAAAACAGACTCGAGTGCGCTTCCAATCAAACACTACAGCTCGCACCTCCAAACTCCTCGAAGTGATTCACAGCGACGTATGCGGACCGATGTCGATGGCAACTTTCAGTGGAAAACGGTACTTCGTGACATTCATTGATGACAAGTCAAGATACTGTGTCGTCTATCTGCTCAAGAGCAAATCTGAAGTTGCGGCGAAGTTCATGGAATACGCTGCGATGGCCGAAACGCAAACCGGAAAGCGCGTGAAGTACCTTCAAAGCGACAATGGGGGTGAATACAAGTCCGACAAGCTGGCACGATTCTGCGCGGAACGGGGAATACAACAAAGGTTCACACCCCCATATACTCCTCAGCTAAACGGAGTAGCTGAGAGAATGAATCGCACGCTGGTCGAGTGTGCGCGTTGCATGATGGAACACGCTGGACTGGGAAAGAGCTACTGGGGTGAAGCAGTGATGACGGCGATGTTTCTTCGAAACCGCTGTCCAACACGTGCCATTCACCAAGACAAGTCTCCATATCAAGTGTGGACGATGAAGAAACCGATTCTGGCCAACCTTAAAGTGTTTGGATGCCACGCGTATGTTCAAGTGCCTCAAGACAAACGCGCGAAGTTCGACTCCAAGTCATCACTCTGTCGTTTCCTGGGATACGCCGAACACCAGAAGTCATATCGATTTGAGGAAGTGTCAACAGGAGCGATCAAGATCAGTCGCGATGCCACATTCATGGAAGACAAGTTTGATGAAGGTCCGCGCAACTACAACGATGAGTCAAGTGTCGTTGAGTTTGATGATCATGATGAGGACGAAGAAAAAGAAGAAGGTAAAACTGACGACGACATGGACTCGAGCGACGATGACAACGAAGACACCAGGTCTTCGAAGAGCAACATCAAGAGACACACGCGCACTCAATCACTTGAGAAAGCTACCGTCATTCAAGTCCCAAGCGAAGAACATACAGAGGTCCGTCGCTTGAGCATGTGTCAGCGGCTGCAATGGATTTTGAAGCAGCCTACATCGTTGATTCAGTGGGGGAAACGCCGACTACATTCAAGTCGGCGATGGAATCAAGCGACTCCGGCAAGTGGAAAGAAGCGTGTGACTCGGAGTTCGATTCGCTTCAGAGAAACGACACGTGGGAAATCGTGCCTCTTCCGAAAGGTCGCAAGGCCATCGGGTGCCGATGGGTTTTTCGTGTAAAGGAGAATCAAGATGGCGAAGTTGAACGTTTCAAGGCAAGACTTGTGGCCAAAGGATTCTCACAGAAATTCGGAGTTGACTATGAAGAAACTTTCGCACCGGTGGCCAAGTTCACATCGATTCGTGTGGTGCTCAGTATGGCGGCTAAGTACGGCCTAATGCTACATCAGATGGACGTCAAGACAGCGTTTCTTAACGGCTCCCTCAACGAAGACATCTACATGGACCAGCCGGACGGATACCTGGATGCAACACAGCCGGACTATGTGTGCAAGCTAAAGAGATCACTCTACGGCTTGAAGCAATCGCCTCGCATGTGGAACCAAACAATCGATGGGTTCATGATCAAGATGGGATTCAAGAAGTGCGAATCGGACCACTGCATCTACATCAAGCGAGACGACCAAGACATGATTCTCGTGGTGCTCTACGTCGATGATCTCATCCTGGCCAGCAGCAACAACGAACTCCTCAAGTCAACCAAGATGGCGCTGAGAAAACGCTTCGAAATGACGGATCTCGGTGAGCTCGATTACTTTCTCGGCATGGAGATCAAGAACGACCGTAAGACGGGAATGGTGACTGTACAACAAACCAAGTTTCTCAAGTCCGTGTTAACCAAGTTCGGAATGGATAACAGCAAGCGCACGAAGACACCATGTGCAACGTGCCATATCGAAGTGCTGTCGGAGGCATCATGTATCTCATGGTCGCCACACGTCCGGATCTAGCTGCTGCAGTGGGATCATTATCCCAGTTCTCGTCCGACCCATGCCCGACTCACTGGCAAGCTTTGAAGCGTGTGCTGAGATACCTGCAAGCAACGCCCAATCATGGTCTTGAGTTTACACGTGAAGAAGGAAGCCGTATCTGCGGGTACACCGACGCAGACTGGGCCGGCGACATTGAGTCAAGACGAAGTACAAGCGGCTATGTGTTCATGATGAGCGGAGGATGCATCAGCTGGAAAAGACAGAAACAACGGACGGTCGCGCTATCTTCAACAAAAGCAGAATACATGGCGCTTTCCGAAGCAACCAAAGAAGCAGTATGGCTCAAAGTGCTTTTGGGGAACTTGGTGAGATGACAAGCGACGAAGCGATCAAGATGTATGAAGACAACCAAGGATCAATCGCTCTCGCCAAGAACCCGGAGTTCCATAAGAGAACAAAACACATCGACATACGCTACCATTTTGTGCGTGAGAAGGTGGAATCAGGTGAAGTCGTTTTGGAGTATTGCCCGACTCAAGATATGCTGGCAGACATGATGACCAAGCCGATCGCCGCTGTACAATTTGAAAACATTCGCGATCGACTTGGGATCCAAGGTGCCGCAGCTAACGAGTCGAGAGGGAGTGTTGAAAAGACAGCGGCTGTGAAGAAGACACCTCGTCAAGCTGCGTCAAGTGTTGAAGCAAGTGGAAGACCAAGCCTCGCTATACCGGTGGGTACCGGTATGTACCAGTAAGGGCGAAGTCAGGAAATGACGTCACTGGATGACGTCATTGCATGACGTCAGTGGGTGACGTCAGTGGGTGACGCCACTGGATGACGTCACTGCGAATAATAGGCTTAGAGGTAGTATTCAAAGTTGCGAACTAAGTACCTATTATAAATATATATTCACTTTGCGTTTTGCACTCGGACCAAGATATCTAAAGTTCATCAGAACGACCGTAAGACGGGAATGGTGACTGTACAACAAACCAAGTTTCTCAAGTCCGTGTTAACCAAGTTCGGAATGGATAACAGCAAGCCAGTGAAGACGCCTCAAGATCCCGGCCTGAAGCTAACCAAGAACATGTGTGAACAAGAATGCAAGCACGAAGACACCATGTGCAACGTGCCATATCGAAGTGCTGTCGGAGGCATCATGTATCTCATGGTCGCCACACGTCCGGATCTAGCTGCTGCAGTGGGATCATTATCCCAGTTCTCGTCCGACCCATGCCCGACTCACTGGCAAGCTTTGAAGCGTGTGCTGAGATACCTGCAAGCAACGCCCAAGCATGGTCTTGAGTTTACACGTGAAGAAGGAAGCCGTATCTGCGGGTACACCGACGCAGACTGGGCCGGCGACATTGAGTCAAGACGAAGTACAAGCGGCTATGTGTTCATGATGAGCGGAGGATGCATCAGCTGGAAAAGCCAGAAACAACGGACGGTCGCGCTATCTTCAACAGAAGCAGAATACATGGCGCTTTCCGAAGCAACCAAAGAAGCAGTATGGCTCAAAGTGCTTTTGGGGGAACTTGGTGAGATGACAAGCGACGAAGCGATCAAGATGTATGAAGACAACCAAGGATCAATCGCTCTCGCCAAGAACCCGGAGTTCCATAAGAGAACAAAACACATCGACATACGCTACCATTTTGTGCGTGAGAAGGTGGAATCAGGTGAAGTCGTTTTGGAGTATTGCCCGACTCAAGATATGCTGGCAGACATGATGACCAAGCCGATCGCCGCTGTACAATTTGAAAACATTCGCGATCGACTTGGGATCCAAGGTGCCGCAGCTAACTGTTGAAAAGACAGCGGCTGTGAAGAAGACACCTCGTCAAGCTGCGTCAAGTGTTGAAGCAAGTGGAAGACCAAGCCTCGCTATACCGGTGGGTACCGGTATGTACCAGTAAGGGCGAAGTCAGGAAATGACGTCACTGGATGACGTCATTGCATGACGTCAGTGGGTGACGTCAGTGGGTGACGTCACTGGATGACGTCACTGCGAATAATAGGCTTAGAGGTAGTATTCAAAGTTGCGAACTAAGTACCTATTATAAATATATATTCACTTTGCGTTTTGCACTCGGACCAAGAAGTCTAAAGTTCATCAGGTTATGAGCCCAAGTTCGTCAGACTCTGAAACCGCCAACAATTCAAGCTTAGCTGCCATGGACGCCTCCTCCCTCCGCATCTCCAAGTTCGATGGAACTAACTTCCACGCCTGGAAGTTCAAGATGCAGATGGTGCTGGAGGAACGGGACCTATGGGAGGTCGTCAGCGGTGAGATCAAGGCGGAACAGTGCGAGACTCATTTGGACCAAGCGACGTACAAGAGGAAGTCAAGAAAGGCGATGGCAGTGATCTGTCTAGCCATGGAAGATTCCCAGCTACCGTTGGTCCGGTCGGCAAGTGGTGCATGCGACGCATGGTCAAGGTTGGAAGACCACTTCGAGAAGAAGAGTCTTGCCAACAAGCTGTTCTTGCGCCGTCGCTTCTTCACGACAATGATGGAAGAAGGCGACGATGTGCTCGAACACATCAACAAGCTCAAGACGCTGGCGGAACAGCTAGAAGCGGTGGGGGCTCCAGTCTGCGAGGACGATCTGGTGATCACACTCCTCGGCAGCCTGAGTGACTCGTATCAATTCTTGATCACAGCTTTGGAGTCGCGCTCAGACACTCTTAGCTGGGAGCTCGTGACGTCTCGACTGCTTCATGAAGAAATGAAGCGGAAGGAGCAAGGAAGTAAAAAGGTGATGAAGCTTCGCAAGGTCAAGCGTTCATCACAAGGGACAATCAGCGCAAAGGGCGACCAGTGAAGAAGTCCTGGCCGTGCCACAATTGCGGAAAGATTGGTCACTGGATGGCGGAGTGCCCCTCGCGCATCCAAGAAAACACGGAGAGACACCGGCCACAGCGTGCTCAAGACAGCGGCGACCGCTATCGATCACAACGTGCAAACGTCGCTCAAGAAGAAGACTCGGGCGACTACCTCTTTTCGATCGGTGAAACGACATCTGCGAAATCGAGCGACATCTGGCTGGTCGACTCCGGGGCGACGCAGCACATGACGTGCTCCAAGAAGTTCATGCGGAACTACAAGGGGTTTGACGCTGTGGATGTCCATCTCGCGGATGATGGAATCGTCCAAGCAATCGGCAGTGGGGACATTGTCATGTCGATGAAGACACCCCAAGGGATGAAGAAAGGTGTGCTCACAAACGTGTGGCACATCCCAAAGTTATCCAGAAACCTGTTCTCGGTCGGCCGCTTCACCAAGGATGTCGGCCCAGTGACGTTCACGAAGGATGGGTGCTATGGAGAAGCGAAAGGGACCAAGTGGAAAATTGGTGCCCGTGAAGGTAAAGGACTGTTCAAGCTGCAAATGACTCCAGTGGCGCCGGAACAAGCAAATGCAGCCAAGTCGTCGGGATGTCAAGGGGGCACCAAGTCGTACCTCTGGCACCTTCGGCTTGGCCACATAGGTCACGATGGACTCAATTGCATCGTGACGAAGAACATTGGAATTGGCATCGACATATCTTCGGTGAAGAAGTGGGACGTGTGTGAAGGTTGTGCTCTGGGAAAACAGACTCGAGTGCGCTTCCAATCAAACACTACAGCTCGCACCTCCAAACTCCTCGAAGTGATTCACAGCGACGTATGCGGACCGATGTCGATGGCAACTTTCAGTGGAAAACGGTACTTCGTGACATTCATTGATGACAAGTCAAGATACTGTGTCGTCTATCTGCTCAAGAGCAAATCTGAAGTTGCGGCGAAGTTCATGGAATACGCTGCGATGGCCGAAACGCAAACCGGAAAGCGCGTGAAGTACCTTCAAAGCGACAATGGGGGTGAATACAAGTCCGACAAGCTGGCACGATTCTGCGCGGAACGGGGAATACAACAAAGGTTCACACCCCCATATACTCCTCAGCTAAACGGAGTAGCTGAGAGAATGAATCGCACGCTGGTCGAGTGTGCGCGTTGCATGATGGAACACGCTGGACTGGGAAAGAGCTACTGGGGTGAAGCAGTGATGACGGCGATGTTTCTTCGAAACCGCTGTCCAACACGTGCCATTCACCAAGACAAGTCTCCATATCAAGTGTGGACGATGAAGAAACCGATTCTGGCCAACCTTAAAGTGTTTGGATGCCACGCGTATGTTCAAGTGCCTCAAGACAAACGCGCGAAGTTCGACTCCAAGTCATCACTCTGTCGTTTCCTGGGATACGCCGAACACCAGAAGTCATATCGATTTGAGGAAGTGTCAACAGGAGCGATCAAGATCAGTCGCGATGCCACATTCATGGAAGACAAGTTTGATGAAGGTCCGCGCAACTACAACGATGAGTCAAGTGTCGTTGAGTTTGATGATCATGATGAGGACGAAGAAAAAGAAGAAGGTAAAACTGACGACGACATGGACTCGAGCGACGATGACAACGAAGACACCAGGTCTTCGAAGAGCAACATCAAGAGACACACGCGCACTCAATCACTTGAGAAAGCTACCGTCATTCCAAGTCCCAAGCGAAGAACATACAGAGGTCCGTCGCTTGAGCATGTGTCAGCGGCTGCAATGGATTTTGAAGCAGCCTACATCGTTGATTCAGTGGGGGAAACGCCGACTACATTCAAGTCGGCGATGGAATCAAGCGACTCCGGCAAGTGGAAAGAAGCGTGTGACTCGGAGTTCGATTCGCTTCAGAGAAACGACACGTGGGAAATCGTGCCTCTTCCGAAAGGTCGCAAGGCCATCGGGTGCCGATGGGTTTTTCGTGTAAAGGAGAATCAAGATGGCGAAGTTGAACGTTTCAAGGCAAGACTTGTGGCCCAAGGATTCTCACAGAAATTCGGAGTTGACTATGAAGAAACTTTCGCACCGGTGGCCAAGTTCACATCGATTCGTGTGGTGCTCAGTATGGCGGCTAAGTACGGCCTAATGCTACATCAGATGGACGTCAAGACAGCGTTTCTTAACGGCTCCCTCAACGAAGACATCTACATGGACCAGCCGGACGGATACCTGGATGCAACACAGCCGGACTATGTGTGCAAGCTAAAGAGATCACTCTACGGCTTGAAGCAATCGCCTCGCATGTGGAACCAAACAATCGATGGGTTCATGATCAAGATGGGATTCAAGAAGTGCGAATCGGACCACTGCATCTACATCAAGCGAGACGACCAAGACATGATTCTCGTGGTGCTCTACGTCGATGATCTCATCCTGGCCAGCAGCAACAACGAACTCCTCAAGTCAACCAAGATGGCGCTGAGAAAACGCTTCGAAATGACGGATCTCGGTGAGCTCGATTACTTTCTCGGCATGGAGATCAAGAACGACCGTAAGACGGGAATGGTGACTGTACAACAAACCAAGTTTCTCAAGTCCGTGTTAACCAAGTTCGGAATGGATAACAGCAAGCGGGGAGAACCCCTCAAGATCCCGGCCTGAAGCTAACCAAGAACATGTGTGAAAAGAATGCAAGCACGAAGACACCATGTGCAACGTGCCATATCGAAGTGCTGTCGGAGGCATCATGTATCTCATGGTCGCCACACGTCCGGATCTAGCTGCTGCAGTGGGATCATTATCCCAGTTCTCGTCCGACCCATGCCCGACTCACTGGCAAGCTTTGAAGCGTGTGCTGAGATACCTGCAAGCAACTCCCAATCATGGTCTTGAGTTTACACGTGAAGAAGGAAGCCGTATCTGCGGGTACACCGACGCAGACTGGGCCGGCGACATTGAGTCAAGACGAAGTACAAGCGGCTATGTGTTCATGATGAGCGGAGGATGCATCAGCTGGAAAAGCCAGAAACAACGGACGGTCGCGCTATCTTCAACAGAAGCAGAATACATGGCGCTTTCCGAAGCAACCAAAGAAGCAGTATGGCTCAAGGTGCTTTTGGGGGAACTTGGTGAGATGACAAGCGACGAAGCGATCAAGATGTATGAAGACAACCAAGGATCAATCGCTCTCGCCAAGAACCCGGAGTTCCATAAGAGAACAAAACACATCGACATACGCTACCATTTTGTGCGTGAGAAGGTGGAATCAGGTGAAGTCGTTTTGGAGTATTGCCCGACTCAAGATATGCTGGCAGACATGATGACCAAGCCGATCGCCGCTGTACAATTTGAAAACATTCGCGATCGACTTGGGATCCAAGGTGCCGCAGCTAACGAGTCGAGAGGGAGTGTTGAAAAGACAGCGGCTGTGAAGAAGACACCTCGTCAAGCTGCGTCAAGTGTTGAAGCAAGTGGAAGACCAAGCCTCGCTATACCGGTGGGTACCGGTATGTACCAGTAAGGGCGAAGTCAGGAAATGACGTCACTGGATGACGTCATTGCATGACGTCAGTGGGTTGTTGAAAAGACAGCGGCTGTGAAGAAGACACCTCGTCAAGCTGCGTCAAGTGTTGAAGCAAGTGGAAGACCAAGCTTCGCTATACCGGTGGGTACCGGTATGTACCAGTAAGGGCGAAGTCAGGAAATGACGTCACTGGATGACGTCACTGCGAATAATAGGCTTAGAGGTAGTATTCAAAGTTGCGAACTAAGTACCTATTATAAATATATATTCACTTTGCGTTTTGCACTCGGACCAAGAAGTCTAAAGTTCATCAGGTTATGAGCCCAAGTTCGTCAGACTCTGAAACCGCCAACAATTCAAGCTTAGCTGCCATGGACGCCTCCTCCCTCCGCATCTCCAAGTTCGATGGAACTAACTTCCACGCCTGGAAGTTCAAGATGCAGATGGTGCTGGAGGAACGGGACCTATGGGAGGTCGTCAGCGGTGAGATCAAGGCGGAACAGTGCGAGACTCAGTTGGACCAAGCGACGTACAAGAGGAAGTCAAGAAAGGCGATGGCAGTGATCTGTCTAGCCATGGAAGATTCCCAGCTACCGTTGGTCCGGTCGGCAAGTGGTGCATGCGACGCATGGTCAAGGTTGGAAGACCACTTCGAGAGAAGAAGAGTCTTGCCAACAAGCTGTTCTTGCGCCGTCGCTTCTTCACGACAATGATGGAAGAAGGCGACGATGTGCTCGAACACATCAACAAGCTCAAGACGCTGGCGGAACAGCTAGAAGCGGTGGGGGCTCCAGTCTGCGAGGACGATCTGGTGATCACACTCCTCGGCAGCCTGAGTGACTCGTATCAATTCTTGATCACAGCTTTGGAGTCGCGCTCAGACACTCTTAGCTGGGAGCTCGTGACGTCTCGACTGCTTCATGAAGAAATGAAGCGGAAGGAGCAAGGAAGTAAAGGTGATGAAGCTTCGCAAGGTCAAGCGTTCATCACAAGGGACAATCAGCGCAAAGGGCGACCAGTGAAGAAGTCCTGGCCGTGCCACAATTGCGGAAAGATTGGTCACTGGATGGCGGAGTGCCCCTCGCGCATCCAAGAAAACACGGAGAGACACCGGCCACAGCGTGCTCAAGACAGCGGCGACCGCTATCGATCACAACGTGCAAACGTCGCTCAAGAAGAAGACTCGGGCGACTACCTCTTTCGATCGGTGAAACGACATCTGCGAAATCGAGCGACATCTGGCTGGTCGACTCCGGGGCGACGCAGCACATGACGTGCTCCAAGAAGTTCATGCGGAACTACAAGGGGTTTGACGCTGTGGATGTCCATCTCGCGGATGATGGAATCGTCCAAGCAATCGGCAGTGGGGACATTGTCATGTCGATGAAGACACCCCAAGGGATGAAGAAAGGTGTGCTCACAAACGTGTGGCACATCCCAAAGTTATCCAGAAACCTGTTCTCGGTCGGCCGCTTCACCAAGGATGTCGGCCCAGTGACGTTCACGAAGGATGGGTGCTATGGAGAAGCGAAAGGGACCAAGTGGAAAATTGGTGCCCGTGAAGGTAAAGGACTGTTCAAGCTGCAAATGACTCCAGTGGCGCCGGAACAAGCAAATGCAGCCAAGTCGTCGGGATGTCAAGGGGGCACCAAGTCGTACCTCTGGCACCTTCGGCTTGGCCACATAGGTCACGATGGACTCAATTGCATCGTGACGAAGAACATTGGAATTGGCATCGACATATCTTCGGTGAAGAAGTGGGACGTGTGTGAAGGTTGTGCTCTGGGAAAACAGACTCGAGTGCGCTTCCAATCAAACACTACAGCTCGCACCTCCAAACTCCTCGAAGTGATTCACAGCGACGTATGCGGACCGATGTCGATGGCAACTTTCAGTGGAAAACGGTACTTCGTGACATTCATTGATGACAAGTCAAGATACTGTGTCGTCTATCTGCTCAAGAGCAAATCTGAAGTTGCGGCGAAGTTCATGGAATACGCTGCGATGGCCGAAACGCAAACCGGAAAGCGCGTGAAGTACCTTCAAAGCGACAATGGGGGTGAATACAAGTCCGACAAGCTGGCACGATTCTGCGCGGAACGGGGAATACAACAAAGGTTCACACCCCCATATACTCCTCAGCTAAACGGAGTAGCTGAGAGAATGAATCGCACGCTGGTCGAGTGTGCGCGTTGCATGATGGAACACGCTGGACTGGGAAAGAGCTACTGGGGTGAAGCAGTGATGACGGCGATGTTTCTTCGAAACCGCTGTCCAACACGTGCCATTCACCAAGACAAGTCTCCATATCAAGTGTGGACGATGAAGAAACCGATTCTGGCCAACCTTAAAGTGTTTGGATGCCACGCGTATGTTCAAGTGCCTCAAGACAAACGCGCGAAGTTCGACTCCAAGTCATCACTCTGTCGTTTCCTGGGATACGCCGAACACCAGAAGTCATATCGATTTGAGGAAGTGTCAACAGGAGCGATCAAGATCAGTCGCGATGCCACATTCATGGAAGACAAGTTTGATGAAGGTCCGCGCAACTACAACGATGAGTCAAGTGTCGTTGAGTTTGATGATCATGATGAGGACGAAGAAAAAGAAGAAGGTAAAACTGACGACGACATGGACTCGAGCGACGATGACAACGAAGACACCAGGTCTTCGAAGAGCAACATCAAGAGACACACGCGCACTCAATCACTTGAGAAAGCTACCGTCATTCCAAGTCCCAAGCGAAGAACATACAGAGGTCCGTCGCTTGAGCATGTGTCAGCGGCTGCAATGGATTTTGAAGCAGCCTACATCGTTGATTCAGTGGGGAAACGCCGACTACATTCAAGTCGGCGATGGAATCAAGCGACTCCGGCAAGTGGAAAGAAGCGTGTGACTCGGAGTTCGATTCGCTTCAGAGAAACGACACGTGGGAAATCGTGCCTCTTCCGAAAGGTCGCAAGGCCATCGGGTGCCGATGGGTTTTTCGTGTAAAGGAGAATCAAGATGGCGAAGTTGAACGTTTCAAGGCAAGACTTGTGGCCAAAGGATTCTCACAGAAATTCGGAGTTGACTATGAAGAAACTTTCGCACCGGTGGCCAAGTTCACATCGATTCGTGTGGTGCTCAGTATGGCGGCTAAGTACGGCCTAATGCTACATCAGATGGACGTCAAGACAGCGTTTCTTAACGGCTCCCTCAACGAAGACATCTACATGGACCAGCCGGACGGATACCTGGATGCAACACAGCCGGACTATGTGTGCAAGCTAAAGAGATCACTCTACGGCTTGAAGCAATCGCCTCGCATGTGGAACCAAACAATCGATGGGTTCATGATCAAGATGGGATTCAAGAAGTGCGAATCGGACCACTGCATCTACATCAAGCGAGACGACCAAGACATGATTCTCGTGGTGCTCTACGTCGATGATCTCATCCTGGCCAGCAGCAACAACGAACTCCTCAAGTCAACCAAGATGGCGCTGAGCAAACGCTTCGAAATGACGGATCTCGGTGAGCTCGATTACTTTCTCGGCATGGAGATCAAGAACGACCGTAAGACGGGAATGGTGACTGTACAACAAACCAAGTTTCTCAAGTCCGTGTTAACCAAGTTCGGAATGGATAACAGCAAGCCAGTGAAGACGCCTCAAGATCCCGGCCTGAAGCTAACCAAGAACATGTGTGAACAAGAATGCAAGCACGAAGACACCATGTGCAACGTGCCATATCGAAGTGCTGTCGGAGGCATCATGTATCTCATGGTCGCCACACGTCCGGATCTAGCTGCTGCAGTGGGATCATTATCCCAGTTCTCGTCCGACCCATGCCCGACTCACTGGCAAGCTTTGAAGCGTGTGCTGAGATACCTGCAAGCAACGCCCAATCATGGTCTTGAGTTTACACGTGAAGAAGGAAGCCGTATCTGCGGGTACACCGACGCAGACTGGGCCGGCGACATTGAGTCAAGACGAAGTACAAGCGGCTATGTGTTCATGATGAGCGGAGGATGCATCAGCTGGAAAAGCCAGAAACAACGGACGGTCGCGCTATCTTCAACAGAAGCAGAATACATGGCGCTTTCCGAAGCAACCAAAGAAGCAGTATGGCTCAAAGTGCTTTTGGGGGAACTTGGTGAGATGACAAGCGACGAAGCGATCAAGATGTATGAAGACAACCAAGGATCAATCGCTCTCGCCAAGAACCCGGAGTTCCATAAGAGAACAAAACACATCGACATACGCTACCATTTTGTGCGTGAGAAGGTGGAATCAGGTGAAGTCGTTTTGGAGTATTGCCCGACTCAAGATATGCTGGCAGACATGATGACCAAGCCGATCGCCGCTGTACAATTTGAAAACATTCGCGATCGACTTGGGATCAAGGTGCCGCAGCTAACGAGTCGAGAGGGAGTGTTGAAAAGACAGCGGCTGTGAAGAAGACACCTCGTCAAGCTGCGTCAAGTGTTGAAGCAAGTGGAAGACCAAGCTTCGCTATACCGGTGGGTACCGGTATGTACCAGTAAGGGCGAAGTCAGGAAATGACGTCACTGGATGACGTCACTGCGAATAATAGGCTTAGAGGTAGTATTCAAAGTTGCGAACTAAGTACCTATTATAAATATATATTCACTTTGCGTTTTGCACTCGGACCAAGAAGTCTAAAGTTCATCACTAACGAGTCGAGAGGGAGTGTTGAAAAGACAGCGGCTGTGAAGAAGACACCTCGTCAAGCTGCGTCAAGTGTTGAAGCAAGTGGAAGACCAAGCTTCGCTATACCGGTGGGTACCGGTATGTACCAGTAAGGGCGAAGTCAGGAAATGACGTCACTGGATGACGTCATTGCATGACGTCAGTGGGTGACGTCAGTGGGTGACGTCACTGGATGACGTCACTGCGAATAATAGGCTTATAGGTAGTATTCAAAGTTGCGAACTAAGTACCTATTATAAATATATATTTACTTTGCGTTTTGCACTCGGACCAAGAAGTCTAAAGTTCATCAACGATTTCCCACGTGTCGTTTCTCTGAAGCGAATCGAACTCCGAGTCACACGCTTCTTTCCACTTGCCGGAGTCGCTTGATTCCATCGCCGACTTGAATGTAGTCGGCGTTTCCCCCACTGAATCAACGATGTAGGCTGCTTCAAAATCCATTGCAGCCGCTGACACATGCTCAAGCGACGGACCTCTGTATGTTCTTCGCTTGGGACTTGGAATGACGGTAGCTTTCTCAAGTGATTGAGTGCGCGTGTGTCTCTTGATGTTGCTCTTCGAAGACCTGGTGTCTTCGTTGTCATCGTCGCTCGAGTCCATGTCGTCGTCAGTTTTACCTTCTTCTTTTTCTTCGTCCTCATCATGATCATCAAACTCAACGACACTTGACTCATCGTTGTAGTTGCGCGGACCTTCATCAAACTTGTCTTCCATGAATGTGGCATCGCGACTGATCTTGATCGCTCCTGTTGACACTTCCTCAAATCGATATGACTTCTGGTGTTCGGCGTATCCCAGGAAACGACAGAGTGATGACTTGGAGTCGAACTTCGCGCGTTTGTCTTGAGGCACTTGAACATACGCGTGGCATCCAAACACTTTAAGGTTGGCCAGAATCGGTTTCTTCATCGTCCACACTTGATATGGAGACTTGTCTTGGTGAATGGCACGTGTTGGACAGCGGTTTCGAAGAAACATCGCCGTCATCACTGCTTCACCCCAGTAGCTCTTTCCCAGTCCAGCGTGTTCCATCATGCAACGCGCACACTCGACCAGCGTGCGATTCATTCTCTCAGCTACTCCGTTTAGCTGAGGAGTATATGGGGGTGTGAACCTTTGTTGTATTCCCCGTTCCGCGCAGAATCGTGCCAGCTTGTCGGACTTGTATTCACCCCCATTGTCGCTTTGAAGGTACTTCACGCGCTTTCCGGTTTGCGTTTCGGCCATCGCAGCGTATTCCATGAACTTCGCCGCAACTTCAGATTTGCTCTTGAGCAGATAGACGACACAGTATCTTGACTTGTCATCAATGAATGTCACGAAGTACCGTTTTCCACTGAAAGTTGCCATCGACATCGGTCCGCATACGTCGCTGTGAATCACTTCGAGGAGTTTGGAGGTGCGAGCTGTAGTGTTTGATTGGAAGCGCACTCGAGTCTGTTTTCCCAGAGCACAACCTTCACACACGTCCCACTTCTTCACCGAAGATATGTCGATGCCAATTCCAATGTTCTTCGTCACGATGCAATTGAGTCCATCGTGACCTATGTGGCCAAGCCGAAGGTGCCAGAGGTACGACTTGGTGCCCCCTTGACATCCCGACGACTTGGCTGCATTTGCTTGTTCCGGCGCCACTGGAGTCATTTGCAGCTTGAACAGTCCTTTACCTTCACGGGCACCAATTTTCCACTTGGTCCCTTTCGCTTCTCCATAGCACCCATCCTTCGTGAACGTCACTGGGCCGACATCCTTGATGAAGCGGCCGACCGAGAACAGGTTTCTGGATAACTTTGGGATGTGCCACACCTTTGTGAGCACACCTTTCTTCATCCCTTGGGGTGTCTTCATCGACATGACAATGTCCCCACTGCCGATTGCTTGGACGATTCCATCATCCGCGAGATGGACATCCACAGCGTCAAACCCCTTGTAGTTCCGCATGAACTTCTTGGAGCACGTCATGTGCTGCGTCGCCCCGGAGTCGACCAGCCAGATGTCGCTCGATTTCGCAGATGTCGTTTCACCGATCGAAAAGAGGTAGTCGCCCGAGTCTTCTTCTTGAGCGACGTTTGCACGTTGTGATCGATAGCGGTCGCCGCTGTCTTGAGCACGCTGTGGCCGGTGTCTCTCCGTGTTTTCTTGGATGCGCGAGGGACACTCCGCCATCCAGTGACCAATCTTTCCGCAATTGTGGCACGGCCAGGACTTCTTCACTGGTCGCCCTTTGCGCTGATTGTCCCTTGTGATGAACGCTTGACCTTGCGAAGCTTCATCACCTTTACTTCCTTGCTCCTTCCGCTTCATTTCTTCATGAAGCAGTCGAGACGTCACGAGCTCCCAGCTAAGAGTGTCTGAGCGCGACTCCAAAGCTGTGATCAAGAATTGATACGAGTCACTCAGGCTGCCGAGGAGTGTGATCACCAGATCGTCCTCGCAGACTGGAGCCCCCACCGCTTCTAGCTGTTCCGCCAGCGTCTTGAGCTTGTTGATGTGTTCGAGCACATCGTCGCCTTCTTCCATCATTGTCGTGAAGAAGCGACGGCGCAAGAAACAGCTTGTTGGCAAGACTCTTCTTCTCGAAGTGGTCTTCCAACCTTGACCATGCGTCGCATGCACCACTTGCCGACCGGACCAACGGTAGCTGGGAATCTTCCATGGCTAGACAGATCACTGCCATCGCCTTTCTTGACTTCCTCTTGTACGTCGCTTGGTCCAACTGAGTCTCGCACTGTTCCGCCTTGATCTCACCGCTGACGACCTCCCATAGGTCCCGTTCCTCCAGCACCATCTGCATCTTGAACTTCCAGGCGTGGAAGTTAGTTCCATCGAACTTGGAGATGCGGAGGGAGGAGGCGTCCATGGCAGCTAAGCTTGAATTGTTGGCGGTTTCAGAGTCTGACGAACTTGGGCTCATAACCTGATGAACTTTAGACTTCTTGGTCCGAGTGCAAAACGCAAAGTGAATATATATTTATAATAGGTACTTAGTTCGCAACTTTGAATACTACCTCTAAGCCTATTATTCGCAGTGACGTCATCCAGTGACGTCACCCACTGACGTCACCCACTGACGTCATGCAATGACGTCATCCAGTGACGTCATTTCCTGACTTCGCCCTTACTGGTACATACCGGTACCCACCGGTATAGCGAAGCTTGGTCTTCCACTTGCTTCAACACTTGACGCAGCTTGACGAGGTGTCTTCTTCACAGCCGCTGTCTTTTTAACAGACTCGAGCGACGATGACAACGAAGACACCAGGTCTTCGAAGAGCAACATAAAGAGACACACGCGCACTCAATCACTTGAGAAAGCTACCGTCATTCCAAGTCCCAAGCGAAGAACGTACAGATGTCCGTCGCTTGAGCATGTGTCAGCGGCTGCAATGGATTTTGAAGCAGCCTACATCGTTGATTCAGTGGGGGAAACGCCGACTACATTCAAGTCGGCGATGGAATCAAGCGACTCCGGCAAGTGGAAAGAAGCGTGTGACTCGGAGTTCGACTCGCTTCAGAGAAACGACACGTGGGAAATCGTGCCTCTTCCGAAAGGTCGCAAGGCCATCGGGTGCCGATGGGTTTTTCGTGTAAAGGAGAATCAAGATGGCGAAGTTGAACGTTTCAAGGCAAGACTTGTGGCCAAAGGATTCTCACAGAAATTCGGAGTTGACTATGAAGAAACTTTCGCACCGGTGGCCAAGTTCACATCGATTCGTGTGGTGCCCAGTATGGCGGTTAAGTACGGCCTAATGCTACATCAGATGGACGTCAAGACAGCGTTTCTTAACGGCTCCCTCAACGAAGACATCTACATGGACCAGCCGGACGGATACCTGGATGCAACACAGCCGGACTATGTGTGCAAGCTAAAGAGATCACTCTACGGCTTGAAGCAATCGCCTCGCATGTGGAACCAAACAATCGATGGGTTCATGATCAAGATGGGATTCAAGAAGTGCGAATCGGACCACTGCATCTACATCAAGCGAGACGACCAAGACATGATTCTCGTGGTGCTCTACGTCGATGATCTCATCCTGGCCAGCAGCAACAACGAACTCCTCAAGTCGACCAAGATGGCGCTGAGCAAACGCTTCGAAATGACGGATCTCGGTGAGCTCGATTACTTTCTCGGCATGGAGATCAAGAACGACCGTAAGACGGGAATGGTGACTGTGCAACAAACCAAGTTTCTCAAGTCCGTGTTAACCAAGTTCGGAATGGATAACAGCAAGCCAGTGAAGACGCCTCAAGATCCCGGCCTGAAGCTAACCAAGAACATGTGTGAACAAGAATGCAAGCACGAAGACACCATGTGCAACGTGCCATATCGAAGCGCTGTCGGAGGCATCATGTATCTCATGGTCGCCACACGTCCGGATCTAGCTGCTGCAGTGGGATCATTATCCCAGTTCTCGTCCGACCCATGCCCGACTCACTGGCAAGCTTTGAAGCGTGTGCTGAGATACCTGCAAGCAACGCCCAACCATGGTCTTGAGTTTACACGTGAAGAAGGAAGCCGTATCTGCGGGTACACCGACGCAGACTGGGCCGGCGACATTGAGTCAAGACGAAGTACAAGCGGCTATGTGTTCATGATGAGCGGAGGATGCATCAGCTGGAAAAGCCAGAAACAACGGACGGTCGCGCTATCTTCAACAGAAGCAGAATACATGGCGCTTTCCGAAGCAACCAAAGAAGCAGTATGGCTCAAGGTGCTTTTGGGGGAACTTGGTGAGATGACAAGCGACGAAGCGATCAAGATGTATGAAGACAACCAAGGATCAATCGCTCTCGCCAAGAACCCGGAGTTCCATAAGAGAACAAAACACATCGACATACGCTACCATTTTGTGCGTGAGAAGGTGGAATCAGGTGAAGTCGTTTTGGAGTATTGCCCGACTCAAGATATGCTGGCAGACATGATGACCAAGCCGATCGCCGCTGTACAATTTGAAAACATTCGCGATCGACTTGGGATCCAAGGTGCCGCAGCTAACGAGTCGAGAGGGAGTGTTGAAAAGACAGCAGCTGTGAAGAAGACACCTCGTCAAGCTGCGTCAAGTGTTGAAGCAAGTGGAAGACCAAGCTTCGCTATACCGGTGGGTACCGGTATGTACCAGTAAGGGCGAAGTCAGGAAATGACGTCACTGGATGACGTCATTGCATGACGTCAGTGGGTGACGTCAGTGGGTGACGTCACTGGATGACGTCACTGCGAATAATAGGCTTAGAGGTAGTATTCAAAGTTGCGAACTAAGTACCTATTATAAATATATATTTACTTTGCGTTTTGCACTCGGACCAAGAAGTCTAAAGTTCATCAGCCCTTTGCGCTGATTGTCCCTTGTGATGAACGCTTGACCTTGCGAAGCTTCATCACCTTTACTTCCTTGCTCCTTCCGCTTCATTTCTTCATGAAGCAGTCGAGACGTCACGAGCTCCCAGCTAAGAGTGTCTGAGCGCGACTCCAAAGCTGTGATCAAGAATTGATACGAGTCACTCAGGCTGCCGAGGAGTGTGATCACCAGATCGTCCTCGCAGACTGGAGCCCCCACCGCTTCTAGCTGTTCCGCCAGCGTCTTGAGCTTGTTGATGTGTTCGAGCACATCGTCGCCTTCTTCCATCATTGTCGTGAAGAAGCGACGGCGCAAGAACAGCTTGTTGGCAAGACTCTTCTTCTCGAAGTGGTCTTCCAACCTTGACCATGCGTCGCATGCACCACTTGCCGACCGGACCAACGGTAGCTGGGAATCTTCCATGGCTAGACAGATCACTGCCATCGCCTTTCTTGACTTCCTCTTGTACGTCGCTTGGTCCAACTGAGTCTCGCACTGTTCCGCCTTGATCTCACCGCTGACGACCTCCCATAGGTCCCGTTCCTCCAGCACCATCTGCATCTTGAACTTCCAGGCGTGGAAGTTAGTTCCATCGAACTTGGAGATGCGGAGGGAGGAGGCGTCCATGGCAGCTAAGCTTGAATTGTTGGCGGTTTCAGAGTCTGACGAACTTGGGCTCATAACCTGATGAACTTTAGACTTCTTGGTCCGAGTGCAAAACGCAAAGTGAATATATATTTATAATAGGTACTTAGTTCGCAACTTTGAATACTACCTCTAAGCCTATTATTCGCAGTGACGTCATCCAGTGACGTCACCCACTGACGTCACCCACTGACGTCATGCAATGACGTCATCCAGTGACGTCATTTCCTGACTTCGCCCTTACTGGTACATACCGGTACCCACCGGTATAGCGAGGCTTGGTCTTCCACTTGCTTCAACACTTGACGCAGCTTGACGAGGTGTCTTCTTTACAGCCGCTGTCTTTTCAACATTTTCCACCGTGTGTATTGAGGGTTACCGGTACAATCCGAACCTAGCGCGTAGTTCTTACGAGATAGTTTTTACGTCGGTAATTACCTCAGAGATGATTAGACGCGTAGGATGATTGGACGCGTGTAAATCAGGTTGATTAGATGCACCATGTGATTGGATGCAGTCTAGGGTAGGCAGAAGTTAAGACCTATAAATCAATCACTTTCGAATCCTCCCTCAAGTGAGCAAGTGTTCTCTGCTTCGTTCTCTCCGGTCTCTCCGCTTCGTTTTCTCTTCGCCTCGTGTTGTAAGTGCATGATGCACTGGATTCGACTCCAGAGATTCGACCCATGATAGGGTATGTCTAGAATGTTCTTTAGGGTTCTATGCATTATTATAGGTCGTACGGCAGCTAGACGTATGGATAGTTCTCACTTGTAGATTGACAAACCACTGATGAGGCTGATGAACTTTAGACTTCTTGGTCCGAGTGCAAAACGCAAAGTGAATATATATTTATAATAGGTACTTAGTTCGCAACTTTGAATACTACCTCTAAGCCTATTATTCGCAGTGACGTCATCCAGTGACGTCACCCACTGACGTCACCCACTGACATCATGCAATGACGTCATCCAGTGACGTCATTTCCTGACTTCGCCCCTACTGGTACATACCGGTACCCACCGGTATAGCGAAGCTTGGTCTTCCACTTGCTTCAACACTTGACGCAGCTTGACGAGGTGTCTTCTTCACAGCCGCTGTCTTTTCAACACTCCCTCTCGACTCGTTAGCTGCGGCACCTTGGATCCCAAGTCGATCGCGAATGTTTTCAAATTGTACAGCGGCGATCGGCTTGGTCATCATGTCTGCCAGCATATCTTGAGTCGGGCAATACTACAAAACGACTTCACCTGATTCCACCTTCTCACGCACAAAATGGTAGCGTATGTCGATGTGTTTTGTTCTCTTATGGAACTCCGGGTTCTTGGCGAGAGCGATTGATCCTTGGTTGTCTTCATACATCTTGATCGCTTCGTCGCTTGTCATCTCACCAAGTTCCCCCAAAAGCACCTTGAGCCATACTGCTTCTTTGGTTGCTTCGGAAAGCGCCATGTATTCTGCTTCTGTTGAAGATAGCGCGACCGTCCGTTGTTTCTGGCTTTTCCAGCTGATGCATCCTCCGCTCATCATGAACACATAGCCGCTTGTACTTCGTCTTGACTCAATGTCGCCGGCCCAGTCTGCGTCGGTGTACCCGCAGATACGGCTTCCTTCTTCACGTGTAAACTCAAGACCATGATTGGGCGTTGCTTGCAGGTATCTCAGCACACGCTTCAAAGCTTGCCAGTGAGTCGGGCATGGGTCGGACGAGAACTGGGATAATGATCCCACTGCAGCAGCTAGATCCGGACGTGTGGCGACCATGAGATACATGATGCCTCCGACAGCGCTTCGATATGGCACGTTGCACATGGTGTCTTCGTGCTTGCATTCTTGTTCACACATGTTCTTGGTTAGCTTCAGGCCGGGATCTTGAGGCGTCTTCACTGGCTTGCTGTTATCCATTCCGAACTTGGTTAACACGGACTTGAGAAACTTGGTTTGTTGTACGGTCACCATTCCCGTCTTACGGTCGTTCTTGATCTCCATGCCGAGAAAGTAATCGAGCTCACCGAGATCCGTCATTTCGAAGCGTTTGCTCAGCGCCATCTTGGTTGACTTGAGGAGTTCGTTGTTGCTGCTGGCCAGGATGAGATCATCGACGTAGAGCACCACGAGAATCATGTCTTGGTCGTCTCGCTTGATGTAGATGCAGTGGTCCGATTCGCACTTCTTGAATCCCATCTTGATCATGAACCCATCGATTGTTTGGTTCCACATGCGAGGCGATTGCTTCAAGCCGTAGAGTGATCTCTTTAGCTTGCACACATAGTCCGGCTGTGTTGCATCCAGGTATCCGTCCGGCTGGTCCATGTAGATGTCTTCGTTGAGGGAGCCGTTAAGAAACGCTGTCTTGACGTCCATCTGATGTAGCATTAGGCCGTAATTGGCCGCCATACTGAGCACCACACGAATCGATGTGAACTTGGCCACCGGTGCGAAAGTTTCTTCATAGTCAACTCCGAATTTCTGTGAGAATCCTTTGGCCACAAGTCTTGCCTTGAAACGTTCAACTTCGCCATCTTGATTCTCCTTTACACGAAAAACCCATCGGCACCCGATGGCCTTGCGACCTTTCGGAAGAGGCACGATTTCCCACGTGTCGTTTCTCTGAAGCGAATCGAACTCCGAGTCACACGCTTCTTTCCACTTGCCGGAGTCGCTTGATTCCATCGCCGACTTGAATGTAGTCGGCGTTTCCCCACTGAATCAACGATGTAGGCTGCTTCAAAATCCATTGCAGCCGCTGACACATGCTCAAGCGACGGACCTCTGTATGTTCTTCGCTTGGGACTTGGAATGACGGTAGCTTTCTCAAGTGATTGAGTGCGCGTGTGTCTCTTGATGTTGCTCTTCGAAGACCTGGTGTCTTCGTTGTCATCGTCGCTCGAGTCCATGTCGTCGTCAGTTTTACCTTCTTCTTTTTCTTCGTCCTCGTCATGATCATCAAACTCAACGACACTTGACTCATCGTTGTAGTTGCGCGGACCTTCATCAAACTTGTCTTCCATGAATGTGGCATCGCGACTGATCTTGATCGCTCCTGTTGACACTTCCTCAAATCGATATGACTTCTGGTGTTCGGCGTATCCCAGGAAACGACATAGTGATGACTTGGAGTCGAACTTCGCGCGTTTGTCTTGAGGCACTTGAACATACGCGTGGCATCCAAACACTTTAAGGTTGGCCAGAATCGGTTTCTTCATCGTCCACACTTGATATGGAGACTTGTCTTGGTGAATGGCACGTGTTGGACAGCGGTTTCGAAGAAACATCGCCGTCATCACTGCTTCACCCCAGTAGCTCTTTCCCAGTCCAGCGTGTTCCATCATGCAACGCGCACACTCGACCAGCGTGCGATTCATTCTCTCAGCTACTCCGTTTAGCTGAGGAGTATATGGGGGTGTGAACCTTTGTTGTATTCCCCGTTCCGCGCAGAATCGTGCCAGCTTGTCGGACTTGTATTCACCCCCATTGTCGCTTTGAAGGTACTTCACGCGCTTTCCGGTTTGCGTTTCGGCCATCGCAGCGTATTCCATGAACTTCGCCGCAACTTCAGATTTGCTCTTGAGCAGATAGACGACACAGTATCTTGACTTGTCATCAATGAATGTCACGAAGTACCGTTTTCCACTGAAAGTTGCCATCGACATCGGTCTGCATACGTCGCTGTGAATCACTTCGAGGAGTTTGGAGGTGCGAGCTGTAGTGTTTGATTGGAAGCGCACTCGAGTCTGTTTTCCCAGAGCACAACCTTCACACACGTCCCACTTCTTCACCGAAGATATGTCGATGCCAATTCCAATGTTCTTCGTCACGATGCAATTGAGTCCATCGTGACCTATGTGGCCAAGCCGAAGGTGCCAGAGGTACGACTTGGTGCCCCCTTGACATCCCGACGACTTGGCTGCATTTGCTTGTTCCGGCGCCACTGGAGTCATTTGCAGCTTGAACAGTCCTTTACCTTCACGGGCACCAATTTTCCACTTGGTCCCTTTCGCTTCTCCATAGCACCCATCCTTCGTGAACGTCACTGGGCCGACATCCTTGGTGAAGCAGCCGACCGAGAACAGGTTTCTGGATAACTTTGGGATGTGCCACACGTTTGTGAGCACACCTTTCTTCATCCCTTGGGGTGTCTTCAT